CGATTTTTATGATTATGGTATCAAATTTATGTTTTCGATATTTTTTCTTTGCAAATCCATTAATAATTTGAATTCTTTGCAGGGCCTATTTTTCATCAGGCCCAAGCAAAAAATTGGCCCTCTTTTTCAATAAATTATTGGCATTATTTTTTTATTATTTTAATGACTTATATTTTTCAATAAATTTAAAACACCCTATGGAAAAAATGAGACGGGCATTTTGATAAAAAACACTTTCCTGCGATCTTATGTGTACCTAACATTGCGTTTTTTGAATTATTATCTCTATTCTTTTATGAGCTACATATTTTTAAGTAAAGTATTGATTTCAGAGATTCTTTTATTGTCAAAAACAATAATTTTAATAGCGTGTATGTCCACCTCTCGCAGCAATAACAGCTCGAGATATTCGTCGTATCGAATGAATAATTGTAGTTATTCTTTCTTGATCTATGCTTGATGAATTTCAAGGTATAGATCAAGAAAACGCTTTACAAGAGCTAAGGCTAGCGTTAACGGAGGAATCTCTGTTAATGCTAACCATAGATCTTGTAAAGTTTGTGGTAGAATAAAAGATCGCGCACACTATACCTACACGGACCAGTACGGACCAGCACAGCACAAACCTGCATCCAAGAAATACTAGCAGTTTGTCGCAAAAGTCGCAAAAGTAGAAGGGAAGGAAACCCACGACCCACGAAAACTGTGTCTGAACGCAACACTTTACCGCGAAAAGACCAGCAACATAAGCGAGAGTTTCTTTAAAAAGCAGTTGTCAAGGCTCAACTACTAGAGCGTGCAACATAGAAGTATTGAAAATGAGGTTCAGAGGAAGAAATTATTATTTTAGCCATGTTGTGACCACCGGGCCCAGGAGGAAGAGAAGGGAAGCTAAGAAAAAGAAGGCCCAGGTTTTTCCTATAAATGAGTCGCCTAGTTTCAAAACACGACAAATCCACAAAAAAGTCAAATGTTGAGAAACGAAAAAACTGTTTAACGTGTCTCTTTTTAGTAAATATAAAGTCAATATTTTATTGCCAAGAAATGATAAGATTTGTCGCAGTTTGCAAAGTATATATGATGTTAGATTGTAAAGAACTAGAAGACGAATCCATTACCATATATAACTCATTTTTCTCGAAAAATGGATTTGTCGGGTTTTGAAACTAGGCGACTCAAATCAAAAGAGAAAGCAATATGGCGAATTTCATCATTTGTTTCCTGAATTAAAAAGATTCGAAGAAAAGTTTTTCCAATATTTTCACAAATCAAATTTGATTATTTTGTTTTGCTATCGACTCCCATATTGCATCTTTTCTTTCTTGGTCTCTATATATAAAATGCTTGGCTCGTATCGCACAGCTCTGGATACTTTTGTACCAGTAAAATAAGCTTTTCTTCATTCATATTTAAAACGATTTAAAGGTTCGAACAACAATAAACGAAATCTAACCTACATCATGCGACTTGAGCCAGCTAGCGTACTCGAAATACTGACGAACCCTTCAATATTTGCATGTTTGTGGAGGTGTGCTGGTTCGCCGGTGCGCACATTAGGTCGGACCAGCACGACCAGGCATAAATATTGCCGGTCATATTTGTCCCTGACGGACACGACCTGTTTTGACGGTCGTGGCTTGTGGCGGTACCTGCTGGTACTGGTCTAGTGTGCTCTACTCTATTAAATGACACGGTTACCTTCACCGGTAGATTTTACTGGTCTGGTCCGTGCCGGTCCGTGTAGGTATAGTGTGCGCGATCTTTAAGACGACGACGAACAATTCTTTTAAGTTCAGCGCACAAATGTTTGATTTTATTGAGGTTGGGACTACAAGAAGGCCATTCCAATCTACGTAATCCAACGTTATCCAGGTACTCGTTAACTACTCGAGTACTCGTAACTCGTTACCCCGCACAACGTGGGGTCTGACATTGGGTCTATTGAATAAAAATAAGTATTAGCTTGTACTTCCTCCTTTTCAAGTATTTACTCAATAAAAATTGAATAAAATATCAGTGATCACTTAATGGAAAAGAGATTATTTGTCAACATAAGCAAACTCTTCCAGTAATTTCTTATTTTTGTTTGAATATAAATAAGAGGTCTCTTAAACCAGTCAGTAATAACTAAAAGATTTTTAAGGTATGTATAAAACATACTTGTCAAGGTGGTAGTTGATAATAATATCTGTTAAACATGGCGGACTTCATGAATGTTCGTAAGAGAAAGAACTACAGGGATAGAAGAAGCATCAGTCCCACCAAATCTAAGCTGCTACTGTTTCAAAGTGAAAATATAGACTATCTTTCGGTTTATTTTTTACCAGAGGCAGATGAAAGCAGAGATTTTCACGAAAACTGGATTTTTTTCACAATCTCACAAGTTTCAAGAATTCTTCTTCCCATTCTTGTAGTTTGATTTTTTTTTGTTTCCGGCTAAATTTTTATCAGTTTTTTTCTTTACATCGGTTTTCATATTATTGAGGATTTTTTTCAACTTCTCAACAGTAGTACTTGTCCCAGACGTTTTGGTAAATTCATCTTTGAGGTCTCTCCATGCCTATTCTTTAGCTTGAACTATGATGGTAGGGATCATTGATTTATTCAAAAGTACTTTATATTTTTTTAGCAATTTGACAAATATAAGTCTAAAAAGGCCAATTTTAACTAGCAATTCTTCCTCACTCGAAGACATACCTAGTTGCGACGAATAGATTCGCTTACACTCGCCTAAACTTGGATGGAGATCTTACGATTGCACACATTCCTGTCACGACTTGGTTTATATGATTTTTTATTATTTGTTTATAGGGCTGTGTTCGTATTGACCTGTGTCATTCATCATACGCAATGCCAAAAGTAAATACTTATAAGTATAAGTAAGTACTTACAAGCAGGGTTGCTAAGTAGTTTATGAAGCAAAAAACTACGCCAAAAACTACGTGTAGTTTTTTATATTAACTACATTTTCAAATTTTAAAAACTACGTTTAAAAACTACACAAAAACTACCTACAAAAATATAGTAAAATATAAACAATTTAGATTTTAAACTAAAATCAAGCCAAATTCTTATCATGGAAGTATGAAGTTATATTATATTTGTATAAGTTAAACAACATCAGAAAAAAAGACAATTTTTTTCAACAAAAGTGTATTTTCTATGAAATACAAAGTAACATTGAACACAAAATAAACTATAAATTCTTATGGAGAAATTCTCCATAGACATTCTCCAGGAGAATATAATATAGGTAGGTATATCTTTAAAAAACAGTACTGGTATATAAAACATAACATTTCCAACCATTTTTAATACAAAGTATCAAAAATATCACAAATTCACAAAATATAGATTTTTTATTTCTTAAATTGATCAACAAACCAAAAACTATATTAGTTACATAAACTATACATTTACTACTCGACATTTAAAAAACTACTTGTGACATGTAGTAAATGTAGTTTATTAATTACTACGTGTAGTTTAACAACTTTGCTTACAAGTCATTACTCAAAATTAAAAATATTTTCCCAGTATTTACTTTTAAGAAAGTCCTTCTTTTTATTCAAACAAAAGTAAGTAATAGCTTCTACTTAAAAGTTTTTGCTCTTTCTTATAAGTGATGGCTTTCAAGGTAATACTTTTCTTTAATCAATAGACCCAATTATAATTTATCAGTATAAACTGATTTCCAAAGAAAGGAGCAAATGGAACAACAATTTCTTGGAGAACGCCCTCAATATAATAGTGGGCATTGAGAGCTCCATTTTGAACAAATTCAAGATTGTAAAAATATCAGTACTTTTTTTAAAAATGTATAGCTCATAAAAGAATACAGATAATAAGATAATTCAAAAATTAAAATGTTGGGAATACATCTAAGATTACAGCAAAGTGTTCTTTATCCAAAATGCCCGTCCCATTTTTGTTTACAGGGTGTTTGAATTTATTTCAAAATGAAGTTTTGATTTACCACGGTACAAGCCCATCTAACCGAAATATATAAGCCATTAAAATAATAAAAAATAATGCCAACAAGTTTATCTACAAACTAATACCATAATCATAAGAATGGAATTACAAATTAAAAGGTTATAAAACATCAAACTTAGTCAAAATTTTAGGGTGGCGAAATTTTGTGCCGGGGAGTTTAGCTTGGGGAGTTTAGTTATAAGAGATAACCAAGGATATAACTATTTATAACGAAAGTATTTATAAAAAAAATAAGTATAAGAAATACAATAATATAATAATAAAAGAATAAAACAAAAAGACATACAAAATGTTTGCTTTCGAAATTAATTTTAGTAAAACTCAATTATTTATTACCATTTTGTCTTAAATTATATGCATTTTAGTATTTACAGATTTTATTGCTTTTGTTTAATTTTAAAGTATAAATAGTAACAATTTAAGTTAAATATTATAACACAGTTAACGAGAAAGTGAAAAAACTCTATAAAAATTTTAAATGATACTTTAATAAGCCAACTCTGATTTGTATAATAAAAAGAAAAACAATTTATTATGTACCGTTTTAATCAAGAAGATTCAACCACAACTATCTTAAAACGCTTTTTACTTCTCTTCATGACCGTGGTCTGGCTATTCAAGCAAATAATAATGTTTTTTACTAATATTAACTTATTATATTTACTAGTATTTTATTATGTTATGGTTATTAATGCTTATTAAATTAATTGATATAAAACAGTTTCAATCACGATTTGCTCTCATTAACATTACAAGAGGTCATGTATGTCTGTTTTACCTCTTCCTGGTTTTTCAATGATTTTCCGATGTATTTGATTAGTAAAGATTTATTTAAAAATTCTGCAAGTGTGTAATGTTACCCTTGGAAGGAAGAATTATGACTTAAGAACTAATCGATATGTTAAAAAAGCCAAGGACGGTAAAAAAAGCATGAACAATATTGTCAAACCGCAAAACAATATAAAATAATTAATCTCACATCATAAGTTTACATTGACCTTATGCAGTGGTCAGATGTAGTGCAGTAAAGAGTGGTAGTAGTAGGGGGAGAAATGTATTGGCTAGAAATATTTAAATAATTTACCGGTAGTTAATTTCAATTTCGATTTATTGTAGTTTTTTGAACTGCAATAAGTCCATTAAGGATTTAGTTTAGTTTTCTGTGTTTCTGTGAATGGGTATTTCAAAATAAAAATGTTTAACATCCAGATTTTGATATTGTGCAGTTACGTACTAACAGCTTTCTCAAATCCGATAGAAGAATCAACAAAAGATGCAGGTAAACTTATAACAAATAAATATATTGTTCAAAAATCGTTTATCATTATAGTTTGTTTGAACTTTTGACGGTGAGAGGCAAAATTCTTTCTTTTATAAGTGGTTAATGAACATTTTAAATTTAAAAAACTTCTCAAAAAAAATAAAAATTAAAATCTTTGGTTTGTGTCAAATCAGAATTTGTGTGAACAAAAATACAACGTCTTTCAAACAAATTCTTTCGTCTACAAATTTTTCCAATTGAGGAATGTTGAAAATATATCTACAAGTACTGTATTATACACTATATATTATACAGGGTGGTACGAACTGTATTCCGGAAACTTCGGCAGCATATTCTGCAAATAAAAATAAGTAAAAAAGTGTAGAAATTTCATTTTTATTTGGATTTTTTTCAAATAATTTCTGAAATAATGTTAATATTTTGATGAAAATTGGTGTCTGCCAATTTTTTGACATAAGAAATTTAATTTTGATGTCAATATGATTCTTATAGTTATAGGGGACGCTACCTAATGTGTTTTAACTGCTTTGAAGAGTAATAGCTTTTTGTCCACACCTGTATAAAACTAACGAGTGAAAAAATATACATTTCCGTTATTTTTTGCGTAAATGCCTCTTGGTAAAAATCACTACGAGTAACCGTTTTCAAGATATTTAGAATAGAATTATAGAGAAAGTCATAAAGAGAGTAGATATTTAATTGACTGAAATGATAAATTTGAGAATTTTTTATTGTTTTAAATTAATCAAAAAATTTTCTTCGAAAAAAATGATGATTAAACAGTTTCTGTTGAACTTTTGGGACAAAAACATTTCAAATTAATGCTTTTAGTCTAATAAATATTTAGTCAACATGTTTAATTATGTCAATACTGACAAGTATTGATAATTTCGGTTCCGAATATCTCGAGAACTTAAATAACTCGTAGTTATTTTTACCAAAAGACCTTTTTTTACGCAAAAAATGTCGTAAATGTAGATTTTTTACTCGGTAGTTTTATACAGGTACGGACGAAAAGTTATAACTCTTCAAACCAGTTAAAAATATGCATGTGGCGCCCTCTATAAGTAGGAATCATATTAACATCTAATTCAAATTACTCATGTCAAAAAACTCCCAGAGAGCAATCCTCCAAGACAGGCATCCAAATATTGACGTTACTTAAATTATTTGGAAAAAATCAAAAAAAAATGAAACTTCTACACCCTGTATTTCCGAAACTAAGCATTTTAGGACATACATTTATACGAACTTTTTTATTTATTTTTATCTGCAAAATATGCTGTCGAAGTTTCCGGAGTATAGTTCGGACCACCCTGTATAAGTAATGTATTATTACTATTATTGAACTGTATTCTTCAACCAATTACGCATTTCTTTGGTTTTCAAAAGTTTTTGTCTAATTTTCATTACTCTTTCTAGTCATTAGCAGGTCCTTCTATTTTACCAAAAGACCTTGATAACTGATTTTGATTCTCGATATTTTATGGTTGTTGCATAATCCCTTTGCATCTATAATTTTACAATAATTAGGTATAATTAGTATGAGAAATAAAAGTTTTTGATTTAGATTTTTTTTGATCAAATAATTTTCGAGAAATTTGAAAACTTTTTTCAAAACTAATTTAATTAATTTTAAATTAAAATTAAATATTGTTAAAAAGTTTTTAAAGTAAAAATATAATAATCATTGAAAAATTTTAAGAACAATGGTAATTGCAGTTTTTTATAACCAAGTACTAAATAATTAATTGTTTTTTTTTATTTAAGTTACTTTAATATATTTCTCTGTATCATTATAGCATAAGATCGAAAAAAACGGCGTCAAAGACGGCTGGGGAACGACAGCCGTCTTTAACGCCATTTTTTTCGATCATACGGTACTCTTTTTCTATATTTATAGCTATTACCACTCTAATTAAAGAATTTAATCTAAAACCCTTTCAAAACAAGATGGTTCGAAATAAAAGTTTAAGTGAAATAGACAATGAAAAAACTAGCCAGTACTGGAAATCCAATGGATTGAGAGCTGTGAGAGATAGATTACGTTTGCATCCAAATTTCAGTAAGTCCTCTATATGAGCGTTAGTTTAAGTTCATCTTATTAACAACGTCATATAACATTTATTAGATACCGCCCGAAATGTAATATTATTTCTTGGTGATGGCATGTCGATTCCTACGATAGCTGCTACCAGGGTTTATTTAGGAGGAGAAGAAATGTCGTTGTCATTTGAAGAGTTTCCTTATACAGGTTTATCAAAGGTAAGTATTTTTTTAAATGTATACCCATACAGCAAATTTGTAAAATGTAATTACTAATATCCATCTTGTTAAAAGAGATGCATGTTAAGAAAATATGTAGTATATATATTTAATGTTTTTAGATACCAGTGTAAAACATTATTATCAATCAATTTTTATTTAAAATAGTTGATAAAACTGTAATGCCTTTTAAATCAATCAAATAATAATTGGCAAAATCAGACCATAAAAATACTAGAATGTAGAATGTTTAGGAGGGGAATTAATCACCGCGACCTTATAGATCTATTGTGTGTTCCCCTTTCTTGAGTTATAACGAGTTATAACTCATCATACAGTCTCAGGGCTTTAAGAAAAGCCAGTATCTGAGACGGCTCCACAGAGGCCAGCTCTCCATCCTCGACATCAGACGTACCAAGGTTCATGGCACGAATGGTCGTCGTCTCGGCGCACTCAGTGATAACGTGTTCTGGTGTTTCCCATTTTCCCACAAAATCTGCATTCGCCGTTGTTTCTCAGTTTCAGCCTACTGAGGTGTTCGTTGAGGAGACAGTGTCCTGTTAGAAACCCCGTGACAATCCGAAGATTGTTTTTACTTAAATCAAGGAAAACCTTTGATTTTTCTCGGTCGTAAGTTCTAAGGAACTTTTTCGAGTGTCTTAGACCGTTGGGGGACACCCATTCCAAGTTACGGATGGAGTCTTCCAAATTCTTCAGATCCGCTTTCAGTTAGATCATTTGCTTTTTCATTGCCTTCTATCCCTTGGTGAGCAGGCACCCAGAGTAGGAGGACTTTATTTTCTTTGCCTAATTTGTTGAGCTTCTCTAGGCATTCTTTGACCAACTTCGAATTGATGGTTACTGAGTTGATCGCGTTAAGTGCTGCTTAACTATCGGATAGGATGGCAATTTCCTGTTTTCGATAGTTCCTATCTAAGATAAATTGTACGCATCTTTCGATAGCGCAAATTTCTGCCAATATAAAAATACTATTTTCATTTTCAATTGGGATATATAGCAATTGATCGTTAACTATTTTACTAAAACTGCCTATAGCATTTGATATGGTCTATTTTTATAAACTAAATTACCTTATTAAAAAAATAATTATTAAACAAACCTAAAACCACAACTTGCTTTCATCATCGATCAGCATCATTTTCAACTTATTCAGCCATTTCCAATGATGGTGTAGCCTGCCTCACATATTTAAATCCTACTCTCTTTGTACTTAGGCCCATTGTTGTCTATGCGGGCCCAAGTTATCCCAGCTAATTTCCTAAAATTATGGTCCCATCACAGGTCTGGTCTTCTTCTAGGCCTTTTAATTCGTCGTGGGTGCCATGCTGTAATTTTTGTGGTCCATCTGTTGTCCATCCTTCTTGCCAGGTGTCTTGCCCATTGCCACTTGAGGAATTTGATTCTGTGGATGACATCTATTACCTGGGTTTTTTGTCGTATCCACTCTATTCTTTTAGGGTCCTTCTTAGTTATTTTCACCATATTTTGTTACATTGAGCGTTGTGTGACTTGCAGTTTCCTGATAATGTCCATTTTGAGTGTCCAGGTTTCGCATGCATAGGTCATGACTAGTAGGACACATTGGTCGAATTTTTCTTTATTAAATAAAGGTAGCATTCTAGATTTGAGTATGCTTGAGTTTCTTGCATAAGTAGTCCATGCTAACTTAATTCTTCTGTCGATTTCTGGTAGTAGAGATCCCGAGCTGTGTATTAGTTGTCCCAAACATATTATATTTTCCATTATATATATTATATTATATTCTTCTAAATTCCTTCCTAAATATCCTTGGATAAAGCAAGTTTTAGGTTAAGAATATATATAATACTACATGCTTTATCCAAAGATATTTAGAATATTTTTGAGCCCTTTTTTTTATCTAAATAGTTTTTTATGAACTAAAATTTTGGTATCCATAGAAAACAATATTAGGAATCTTCTGTAAAAAAAATCAAATAACTTATGTTTTTAAATCCAGTGCCCAAGCCATAAGTTCTCACACGAATGCCTCACATGTCCAATTTAACATTATACTTCTAGAATATAGAATTTAGAATGAGTGGAAGGGGGGTTAATCACTGCGACCTTACAGATCTATTGTGTCCCCCTTTCTTGAGTTATAACTCATCATACAGTCCCAGGGCTTTGACAAAAGCCAGTATCTGGGACGGTTTTATAGAGGGTAGTTTTCCATCTCCAATACCAGTCGTACCAAAGTTCATGGCACGAATGGTTGTCGTCTCGGCGCAGTCAGTGATGAAGTGTACTGGTGTTTCCCCATTTTCCCTACATAATCTGCATTCGCCGTTTCATCTTAGTTTCAACCTACTGAGGTGCATTGAGGAGACAGGGTCCTGTTAAAAACCCCGTGACAATCCGAAGATTGTTCTTACTTAAATCCAGGAAGATCTTTGATTTTTCTTGATCGTAAGCCCTCAGAAACTTCTCCGAGTGTCTTAGACCGTTGCAAGATTCCCATTCCAGGTTGCGGATGGAGTCTTCCAAGTTCCTTGAGTTCCGCCTTGAGTTGGTTACCACTTGGAAAGCAGAACGGTTGTGGTCCAGTTAGTGGAGTGTTCGCTCCTTTTCTGGCTAGATCATTTGTTTTTTCATTGCCTTCTATCCCTTGGTGAGCAGGCACCCAGAGTAGGAGGACTTTGTTTTCTTTGCCTAATTTATTCAGCTTCTCTATGCATTCTTTCACCCATTTCGAATTGATTGATACTGAGTTATTATACTTGTAATAAACCTACACTTTTTTTGTAGATAATTTTAATTTGATAGATCACCTTTTATATCATTATAGACCTACTGTGTTGACCATCAAACGGCAGATTCAGCTTGCTCAGCAACTGCATATCTAGGAGGAGTTAAAAGTAACTCGGGAACAATAGGTGTTACAGCTGCAGTAAATAAAGAAAATTGCACCGCCATGAACATGAAGGAAAACCAAGTCGACTCAGTGGCAAGACTATTTCAAATGAAAGGGAAGAAAACGGGTTTGGTAACCACCACTAGAGTTACCCACGCTTCACCAGCAGGTATAATTTTTGACAATGAGAAAATACTTGCTTGGAAAATTATCAGTTAATCATATTCCAATTTATTCTTGCCATAAAATAATTTTTCTCTCATTATCTCCCAAAGCGTAATTGATCAAACAGGGTCCGGCAATAATGCCGAATAATGAATAGAATAAAAAGCTTGGGAATTTTATTTAAGTGTAAACCTAAACTATTATATGTAACTTCTATAGGGTGGCTTAAAAAGTGTAAGTGGATCGGAATGGTTTTTTAAATGAAACATCTTGTATCTTATTGCATTTTTGACTCCTTTTAAATCCTTTTACATACTGCTAAGATATGAGTAAATATATTTCGATAGTTTCATAGATATGAATAAATAAAAAATATAAATTTTTTAACCTTCATTAAAAAAATTATTACAAATCCTGACATCAACACTTTATTAGGTATTTACTGTAGAAGGTATACTTAACTTTTCTATAAATAATCGAAATCTTAAATCGTACAGGATGTTCAAAATTCTACGCCAAACTTTCTAAAATACAAAATATTTTTTCTTTCTTTTTTTTAAACACTGTATATTATTTTCTTATTAGATGGAAAATTAAAAAACGAACATATTTTTGTATTTAATCTATTTCAAACTTTTTAATGGTTTTTCAAATACGCGCATTACCATTAGTTCATATGGCTCTCTCAACGGTAAAATACGAGAGAAAAATCATTGGGGGTGGCTTTGATAAAAATTTACTGTGCAAAATGTCATATGAAACATAAAATCGCCAATATCTGCGAAACCGTTAAAAATTTTGAAATACTCTAAATACAATTTTTTTATTTTTTATTCTCCATCTTTTGAAACAACAATATATAAGGTGTTCCATTTAATATATATTTTAGAATGTTTGGCGTAGAATTTTGAACACCCTGTATTACTAGTTTAAAATTACGATATTTATAGCAAAGTAAGTATAGACCATCTAAAGTTGATTTCAGGACAGTTCTGGTATTTTTAATATTTTTTTAGAAAAGGCTGAAAAATATATATATATATATATATATATTTTATTTATTGATTAATATCTCTGAAATTATCGTAATATATTTGCTCATATCTTACAATTATGTACAGTGACCTGAAAGGAAACCAAAAATGTAATAATATACAGGGTGTTTCATTTAAAAAAAAATTATCCCGATACAGTCACACGTTTATGAGCCACCCTATAGAAGTTAAAATATTTTCCTGTGCCATCCTAGTACATACTTTAGGTTGGCACTTAAACAAAATTACCTAGTTTTTTATTCTAAATGCCCGACGCACTATTCCCGGACCCTGTATATTATAAACTTAATCTTTTAAGATCTGACTTACTAAATGACTGCCTTTGCAGGAGTATATGCCCATACTGCTAATCGTCATTGGGAATCAGATGCTGACGTAGTTAAAGATAAAGCTGATCCCAATAAATGTGAAGATATTGCACATCAGTTGGTTTATGGAAAAACTGGACAAAAACTGAATGTAATTTTAGGTAATATTATATCATAACTATTAAATATTTTTTGACTGTTTTATTTCTTATCTCAGGCGGAGGAAGACGAAATTTTATACCACAGGATAAAATTGATGATGAAGGCTCTAAAGGACGCAGAACAGATGAACTCAATCTAATTGAACAATGGCAAAAAATCAGAAAGCAACGCGGAGATAAACACGAATATGTTTGGAACAAGAAACAGTTACTGCAAATTTCAAACGATACCGAGTATCTTTTAGGTATTTTCTTTTTATTGTATTTCAAATAGTATAACTTACCTAATTTATATTTTTTAGGATTATTTGAACCTGGCCACATGCAATACAATAAAGAAAGGGATACAGAAACAGATCCGTCTTTGGAAGAAATGACCGAACAAGCTATAAAAGTATTAAACAGGGGTAATTCAAACGGTTTCTTTCTATTTGTTGAAGGTAATTTATAGCAATAACGTAACAGATGTTTTCAATATAAGTATTTTAGGAGGAAGAATTGATACAGCTCATCATAGAAATTGGGCGCACAAAGCCTTGGACGAAACTGCTGAGTTTGCCAAGGCTGTTAAAAAAGCAGTTGACATTACTAAAGAGGAAGAAACTCTTATTATTGTTACAGCTGGTAAGTGAAAATCTGTTATATTACAACCATAATTCCATATTTGTGCTATGTATATAACCTCTCATACATACTTATACGTACTTATAATGATGATGATACCTCTCATACGTACTTATAAAGAACAAGTTTAAGAAAAATATTACAGATTGGGAAGGTATAGATGAAAATATTATCAGATTAAATTTAAAACTTAGAAATGTGAGATTAACAATATTAGGTGTATATGCTCCATCCGATGACGAGACTGTAGTAATTAAGGACCAATTTCTTCACTAAGCTCCATGAGATAATTAGTGACATTGGAAATACGAGAGATTTAGTTTTGCTGGGTGACTTTAATAGCCGAACAGGAAGAAAAGAAAATAATAAAATCATAGGCCCTTACGGAGAAGAAAATATCAATGACAACGGTAATAGGCTTATTGACATATGCGAGTATAACAACTTAACAATAAAAAATGGTTTCTTTAAACATAAAACAAATTCATAAATATACTTGGATTCAACCAACACGTGACCTAAAATCAATAATAGATTATATAATTACAAAACAAAGTAACAACATAAAAATTAATGATGTAAGAATCCTAAGGGTCATCGGACACCACTCCAGATCATTACCTTTAAGATCAAAAATTCTCTTCCACCATATCAAATTAAACAAAACAATCAAGAGGATACAGGAAGAACGAAGCCAGTTACCACAGTAAGATATAATTTAGAAAGTCTAATGCATGACAGCGTCAAATATCTTTATCAGAACAGGCTTGATGAAAAACTTATAGAAGATTTGGAAAGGCCTTTTCACCTAACATACAATAATATAATGACAGTATTCATGGAGCCGCAGAGGAAGCATTAGAAATAAAAGCGAGACGAAAGAGCAGAAAGTTGTGGTGGACTGATGAACTTGAGAAACTTGTAGAGGAAAAAAAGATACTGTATTTGAAATGGCTAAATTCGAAATCTGAACTAGACAAGCGCACTTATAATGACAAGAAAAATGAGGTGAGGAGAATGGTAAAAGAAGTAAAGAATAAAGTGTGGGATGACAAATGCAAAGAAATTAATACGTATATAGGCGGAAGAAGGCATACGCACATATGGAGATTTATAAAAACAACAACAACTGAAAAACAGGAGTCAACCCTTATAGAAATAATAACCAACAAAGAATGGGTGAAATATTATTCCAAATTGTTGTCAGAGAACAGACCTGAGTATCAAGAACCGCCACAGCCAGAAATAAACATTGAAGGAAAGGAAATCTACGTGGATACCAACAAAATAAAGACCGCTATAATGTCTTTAAAGAATGGAAGAGCATGTGGCCCAGAGGGAGTATATGCGGAACTCATAAAATCTGGAAGCAAAAAACTGTTTAGAATGTTAACAAACATAGTTAACCAGTGCTTAAATGGTCATCCAGTATCTGAACAGTGGAAAAAAGCATATATCTCCTCTATATATAAAAAGGGCTCAAGGAAGGATCCCAATAACTACAGGGGAATTTCGGTCACCAGCACTATGAGTCGCCTCTGTGGAAGGATACTGAGGAACTTAATTGAAGAGAATACTCCAGCTACGAAGAAGAAGAGCAGAATGGTTTCAGAGGCGGAAGATCATGTACAGATAATATCTTTGCGTTGAAACAGATCATCGAGAAGAAATCTGCAATGAACCAGGAAGTTCATATAACATTCATCGATCTACAAAAAGCATATGATACAGTACCAATAATAAAATTATGGGAAGTATTGCACGAACCAAGAATTAACGCAGCTCTGATAAAAGCTGTACAAAATCTTTACCATGGAGGAAAATCACAAATAAAAACGGTCAACGGTCTCTCAGAGGAAATTTCTATCACTAAAGGGCTCCGACAGTGTTGCTGTATATCCCCAACACTATTTAAAATTTATATTACCAAGGCCTTATATCTATGGAAAAGAAAATGTAACGGAATGGGTATAGAACTAAATGACATATGCCTATACACCTTGCAATTTGCAGACACCAGGCCATAATTGCAAACGACAAAGATGACATGGAATATATGGTGCGGAAAATAATTGAAGAATATGCTAAATGGGGTGGGTCTCACAGTAAATACAGAAAAAAACAAAATACCTTCCAATTGGAGCCAATACAGAAAATCTTATTTTGGACAATAACATGGAAATTAGGGCATGTGAAGATTACAGGTACCTGGGTTCGATATTTACAGGCGATGGAACGGACGATAGAGAAATAAACAACAGAGTAATACAGGCACGAAGAGTTATCAGATGCATAAATGGCATTCTATGGAGCACTGCAATTACAAAAAACAGGAAATATAATATATACGAGACACTAGTTAAAAGCATATTACTCTATGGATGTGAAACATGGCGACTCACTGACAGGAATAAAAGGAAATTAGATACAACAGAAATGGACGCGATTAGAAAAGCAATGAGAATTTCACGGAGGAATAAGATCAGAAATGAAGACATTAGACAACAAATGGGAATAAAGGGAACAATAGTAAATGATATAGAACAAAACCAATTAATATGGTAGGGCCACGTTCAGAGAATGAAAGAATTCCAAAACAAGTCATTCATTGGATACAACCTGGTAAACGAAAGAGAGGACGTTCCAAGAAAACATGGATGGAAAGAATAAGAAGGTCGATGAGCGAGAAAAATCTGACCGAAGATCAATGGGAAAATCGCAGAGGGTGGAAGTTAGGCATCGGACATATGTCGTATATATATATCTGACCCGAATTTATATATATATATATATATATATATATATATATATATATATATATATATATATATATATATATATATATATATATATATATATATATATATATATATATATATTAATATATATATACTATATATATATATATATATATATATATATATATATATATATATATATATATATATATATATATATATATATATATATATACATATATTTTGAATATATATATGTGTAGGTAGTTAGACTTAAAATTATATTTTACAATACATAGTATTCAAACAAGTTTGTTTTATAGATCACGCACATACAATGAGTTATGCTGGATATGCCGCTAGGGGCAGTGATGTTTTTGGCTATGCTGGCAAAGGAAGCGATAACGATCTTTATTCCATATTGAATTATGCTAATGGACCATCGTACAAACCATTAACCGAGGATGGAAAAAGATATGTAGCATCTCAAGAAGAAATGAGTAAGTTGAAAAACTGTCAAAGTATTTTCTTTACTGTTAACTTTTTAGTAAGTAATAAGTTTGTAACTATAGAGTTCAATGACAACTGTGAGACATCATGATAATTTAATCGTAACTAACAAACAATAATTTTAAAGTGACTGATAATGACATAATTATCCCTAATTTACTATCCCATTGAGGTACTATACAACTCTATAGAACTACCGTTAAAATTAAAAAAAAAATCGCTAAAATCAGTTTAATTTTAGAAGTATTACTAGCCTACTTAACCATTAGCACAAGAAAATATAGAATGTATAAATTAAGTTTATATAATAGTATAAACAGGAACACCAATTTGTTTCTTTTTCTGAAAATTATTAACAGTTTTTCTTGTGAGCTAAAACTTGTTAAAAGATACAAGGAAGTAAATTCCTGCAGTCAATTTATCTACAAGGTCCTTGTCATATAAGTAAACTAATATATCTAATAACTATTAAAAAGTAAGTAATGCATTCCTTTGTTAGGAATTGTAATTAAGAAATTATACACATAATAATAATAAAATAAAAAAAAATAAATAAGTATCTAGTAAAAAATGGCTATAAATCTCTGGCGGGATTCATCTATTCAAAAAAAAATCTTATGGGTATTTAAATCTACATAATAATATAGTTATTTTTTGCAAATACTGCTGCGTTAATCCAACAGAGACCAAGTTGTCAGCAGTGATTTACTAATAAACAAATTTGCCTAACGGACAAAAAAATTCTTAACGTTTCTGGAAGTATATATATTCCCGTCGCCGGAAGTAAAAAACACAAAGAACAAATAAAAAAACTATTTAAAATACCTACTCAAGAATGCTTTAGTTTTTTTCAATAGATACGTCTATAAAAACCGTTGAAGTTCGGTTAAAATGACATTATATCAAGTTAAACATCAAAATTAGCAATAATTACTACTACCTGATAACAATTATTTAATGAGGTAAAACCAAAAGCCTCAAACGTTGTGTATATGATTATTTTTTATTTGTTTTTACTTTTTATTTATGTTTATTTATGTTATGTTCATTAAAATCAAAAAAGCGATAGCCATACATTACTAACTTCTACTGATGCATGAACAATACATTTATTTATATTAGAGTGTATTAAAAAACACTCTTTTATTTTTTGTTTGGCGGCTATTGCTTCTTTCATAATAATTTTAGCATTGTTAAAATCTACTCTGTACCCTGTACATACATACCATACCGCCATTACTCGCTGACGAGTATTTGACACGCATCAGAAGATGGTCACGCAAGGCATTTTCTTTCATGAGCTTTTCTGTGACTGAAAAGCCCGATACGTGATGTTATCTGTCTACCGTACTCCAGACATTCAAAAATCTCATTGCTTTGTTGCCTCTTTACTTTTTGGTGGTCGCTGTTAACTGACTTTACAATTCTTCTCCATTCCGTTCTATTGTGAGCTGCCTCTTCCCACTCATTCTGCTTGTTAATTCCTTTTGTTTTCGTGGAAAATATCCTTGAATCTTTTGAGTTGTCCACCCGGCCTCCTCTTACCGTCACAAGCTCACCGTAAAGCAGAGATTTTGGTATGCGGTTTTCTTGCATTCTGCATACATGACCAGCCCATCTTAAGCGGGACTTTGTAATCATGACTTCAATACTCTCGCAGTTAGCTTTTTCAAGGACCGATACGTTTGAGACATGATGGAACCATTTTATTCTTAAGAGTTGTCTAAGATGTCTCTGTTGCAACTTGTTTAATGCGTTCATGTGTCGGCGGTACGGCACCCAGGTTTCGCTTCCATATAACATGGTGGGAATTATTATCGCTCGGTACACTGCAAGTCTCGTTTTTGTACTCAAGTCATTATTGTAGAAAACCCTGTCTTTTAATTTCCAGAATCCTCTTGAGGCGCTGCTAATCCTGTGCTGAATTTCAGAGTCGATGTTGGCCTTTTCCGAAATCAAACTGCCGAGGTAATTGAATTCCGCTACATATTCCAACAGCTCATCTCCAATTTTTATAGCATTGTTGTGATCTTCCGGGGGAGTGCACATGATTTTAGTTTTATCGATGTTCAGCTTAAGTCCCAAGGCCTCGTATGCGCATGTATATTTGTTCAACATTTCTTGCAATTGCTGTAACGTATTGGCAACTAGAGCACAGTCATCAGCGTATTGAAGTTCTGTGATGAATTTTGTACGTGTTTTTGCCCTGAGTCTTTTTATGTTGAACAGACCGCCGTCGTATCTGTATCTAATGCCCAAACCTCTCTCCTGCAGTTTGCTGTCCACTATAATGGAGAGCGCTGCCATGAATATATATTGAGGATAAGTATAAATTTTACCAAGCTCTGCAAAATATACTCCAACAAATTCCAAAGCACGAACGAATCATTTTGCTAGGTGACTTTAATGCCCCTGTCGGCAAACAACAGGAAATATGGCCTGACGTATTGGGAAAACATGAAATAAGAAACGTAAATAACAATGGTGGACGCTTATTAACAACATGCATAGAGTATAATCTTTGCATCACCAATACGTGGTTCATGCTGAAGGACAAGTTTAAAGGTACCTGGAAACATCCGAGATCAGGACATTGGCACCAATTGGACCACGTAATCGTTCGAAGGACGCACCTAAAAGATGTCAGTGTCACAGAAGCCAGAGTAGATGCCGAATGTGGCACTGACCACCGACTTCTAATCTCAAAAATGAAAATCCAGTTAAAACCCACACTGTAAAAAGCAAAGCTACATGACCAGATTGAACGTACGGGGTCTAGAGAACAACGATACCGCCGACGCCCTCCGAGAAGCCATCAAAAAATCACTTCCACCGATAACTTCAATCTCAATCATGGATGCTGAACATGGCTGGACACAACTAAGAGATGCGATTCACAAAACCAGCGAAGCAGTACTGGGAAAATCCAACAAAAAGAAACAACCAGACTGGTTTAAGGAAAATCAACCGCATATTCAGGCGCCTCTCCTATTCTGTACCCTGTACCCCATGAATGCTGACAAATCTGAGATTTACGAAAATCGCCCTTTCTTAAATAATCTTTATGTTCTTTAATTCGAATATATTTAAATGTCTAGATGTTTCAACAAAATAAAATGATTATATCACATTCACATGGTATTTTGTATATTACATTTTTTGTTTGTTGTCCATTGGTTTAGTGTGGGTTAAAATGGAAGTAAGGTCCGTTTTCACGTTTAAGCAGCTTGCGCAAATTGATTTGTGCATGCAAATTTGCACATATCGAACTGAATTGGTGTCTTCGTTTCAACGTTCAGTTTGAACTGCACAAATTAATGGACAAGTGAACTAATAGAGTAGACCTGAATAGTTGCGATTCAACTATTGTGAAGTGTGTGCAGAATAATGAACCAAGAAGACGAACTACTGGCAGTAACAGGTGTTTTAATAATTACAAAATTAAAGGAGCCAACAAAACGCAGAGCCCAGAGATCTTGGATCGAAAAGAAGGACACCTATTCCCATATTAATTTGATTAAAGAACTAGCAAATGAGCCAGACGATTTTCGTAATTACCTGCGCATGAACGAGACGACTTACCGGCATTTTTTGGATTTAGTTACACCCCTGATACAAAGGAATAAATAAAATAACAACAAATATTCAAAACGAAAAGCCGGATACAGGTAAATAATAATAATAGCTCCCGTATATAGCGTTTAAAGCCTTGGGAGTAGCAAGGAACAGCTTGCCATACTAGAGCCGTTCGGTATACAAGGAAGGTAATGTGGCTAGCTCTACGCTTCAACCGCCTATTATTATCTCAGGATTGTGAATCCCAAGTACTAATTTAAGGCTGAGTTGTCCTAGGTACCCAAACTATTTTTATTTTAATAAAAATAGTCGGCTGATGCAATACCGGGTGTGGGAATCGAACCCACTACCTTGAGATTGGTAGACGAGAGCCTGTACCTCTACGCCACCGGGAACCTTATATACAAGTAAATAAGGCACGAAATTCACTTCTACAGACTTGCGCGGAAGTAGGCAATTGAGTTAAAAAGTTGTGTCGTTTATACGTTCATGCGTTTGCGCCAACCACAAGCAAATTATCTGGCCGCTCCAGATTCACTCAAGTCAAACTTTTTGGCTTGTGCAAGTTTGCTATTTCGGTTTTCATGCAACAAGTTACTTGTGCAAACGGACATGCACAAGCCAATTTGCGCCAATTGCATGAGAGTTTTCCAGTAGTTCTATTTAGATATTTTAAATATTTTTTTTTATTTGTTCATTGTTTTTTTTTGCTTCCGATGACGGGAAGAGATATACTTCCCGAAACGTTAAGCATTTTTTGTCCGTTAGGAAATATTAGTAAATCATTGCTGACAAGTTGGTCTCCCTTGGATTAACGCGGCAGTGTTTATAAAGAATAACTATTTTATGCTATAGATTTTCTTACAGTGCAAATGGCGAAATACCCATAGGACTTTTTTGAAAATAAGTATCTAGTATTGTTCCAGGTTATTTTCAACTTGAATTAAATAACCTCTATTCAGGACTACCCTAGATACAATAATTTTCTTGCATTACATCATATCTACATAACTAATGTTGATGTTAAATTTTTAGATGAAATTAGTTTTCAATGGCCAGCCACCGTGCCAAGATTCAAGGAGACCCATGGAGCTGATGACGTAGCCATTTTCGCTAAAGGTCCATGGTCTCATCTGTTTACAGGAGTAATGGAAGAAAATGTCATACCTTACTTGATCCAGTTTGCTGCTTGCGTTAGCACAGACATACCATGCTTGGAAATAAATCAGAAGTTACCTTAAACACCGTAGCTAAAACGATGTGTATACAATGTCTTAATTCTGTGATATATGTATTATTAAAATAAATTATTTATTTATATGCTAATGTTATTTATTAAATTGTATCCTTGTTCTAACTGCATGCTCTGAAATAAAGTATTGTTATTTAGTATAATAGGTCTGCCAAATGGTAGAACCTGAACCTACAAAGTTTACGATACGAAAAATACTATAATTTGTTAGTTTGTTTATATATACATACCTTCAACATTCACGAAAAATGCCATAAAACAAAAATTTAAGTAAATATAAGAGTATACAGAGTCACTGATATATAAGGGTCACCTCCATTGTACACCTGTAGGGAACGGTCGATTAGGTAAAATATACGAGGTGCCGCAAAAAGATAAATATAAAAGTTATAATATATAGAGCTTTTAAATATCTATTAGCGAGTAATAAATTTAAGTATACAGAGTCGGTCATAAAGTTTCAATTTTTTAAATGGGGCCCCCTGCATATTTCAATTCTTCTTTGAATTCTAAGCAAACATCGAAATACACACATACCTCAAACCAACCGAGTTGTTGCAATATTTAATTTTACCAACAAAATTAAACATTTAACGATAATATAAAAGGTGTACAGTAACTAACGAAATGCTCAAAGCTCTTTCTTCTCATTATTTTTTAATTATAAATGTTAGAAAGTATTTTTTTACTATACAGGATAAGTCTTAAATAAATGCAAATATTTTTAGGGGTAATATATTTCGACCCCAGAAACACGATTATGGTTTGTTTTTTTTTTCGCAAAAAAGAATTTGAAAATTGGAAATTTTTTGAAGAAATTTTTGGATTTTTTTTTATTTTTTAGTTAAAAACATAATTTCTTGATAATATGGCAACATAGATAGTAGAATAAATTTACAAGAAAATTCAAAAAATATTCAGTGGTGCTCAAAATATATGCAAAAATCATTTATTTTGGAAATTTTAGAATTTTTTTTTATTTATATTGGAAGTAAAATAACTCGGTTATTTTGGATTTACTTGAAAAATGGCAAAGAGAAAATATGTTTCTTTTATCGAGATCAACCAGCCCTGAAAATATTTTCACTTATTTAAAACACCTTGTATATTTAACTATTTATTATTTATTATTGATTAAACAACTTTAATTTTTATTGAGAATTTTAGTATTTTTAGATGGCACTTTTGTAATTAAATTTATATTATTTTAAATAAAGTAGCCTACTAAGCCTACTTATTATTTAAAAACCCTGAAACTTTGTTTCCTGCTTTTAAATGTAGGTATAGATTATGTTTAGATATCCAAAATCTAGTCATTTATTTCTCTTTTTAGCAATAATATTTATTATATTACTGTTCCGTCTCGTAAATAAATGTCTTGTAGTACCCCCGCTTCCCGCTCCGGACCACAGATTTTTAAAGAAAGAAGCCTACTTCCCCTAGCACGTCACTCTCGGCTCTGACCTTCGGTATCATCCAGTCTTCGTTTCTGTGCACGCCGGGCCACACACGTGCGGCGTAGAAAAACGTTGTTTATTTTCATATTGGCCAAAACACTGAATGAGAATAGCCAATTAAGAGGATATTAAATTAGTAGACTCCAATATCAGTATTCAAATATAACGCAGCCAATTAGTTTATCTAATTAAAGTAATCAATAACTAATATAATTATGTTTGATAGAAAGAATATAAGATAATTCTGTTAGTTAAATAAAGAAATAATTAATGTAACAATTTTCTGAAAAAAGTTGTTTTGTTCATATTTGTATCAAAACAATCAACTTCACAATGACTTAAAAATCAAGAGTATTAAGGGAGAAGTTAAAAATGTATTACTTACATATTATAAAAGAATATAATCGCATCCTAACTTATACCCAACCAAATCATACATTTCAAACACGAGCACCACCAAAATCTTGTATATAAAATGATGATAAATGATCATATGGACATATCAATAGATATTGTGCCATACGCCATACACGCCAACAACCAAAAAAAATAAGCAAGATCTAGGTCAATGTCGACGAGATAGCTCCTTAGAAAAAGAGAAGTTATAAAAATGGTTTATGTAAAATGTATGCCTTATCATAATAATTAACCCTTAACTAACGTGCTAATTTCATGATGTAAGCCCTCATTACAGTGTGGTTTATATATGTTACTGTAAATGTCCGAAATGCGGAAAAACCTAGGCTAAGCGCGCTAAACCTAGGATTTACCAAAAGCATGTGGTAAAAGCCCGAAACCTATTTATTTTGCTTCCATTTCGGACTTTTACCGGACCCAAACAGTAAATCTTAGGATTTACTACCAACTAACCGCATTGGTAAAAGTACGAATAAGCAAATGGTAGTAAAAACCAACCAACCCCACCAAATAACCACCTAACCAATGCATTAATACCCCCCCCCCTCATAACCAGGCTACCAGGCTAACCAATGCATTAATACCCTCCAAATAACCAGGCTAACCTAATTAGTAAATGTTTTTGGTAAATCCTAGGTTTAGCGCGCTTATCCTAGGTTTTACCGCATTTCGAACATTTACAGTAACAAATATAAGACTGATACGTTACAAAAATCGATATCGTGAAACGATAATCGTTAAAATTTCAATGCCTAAGTAAACAAAAACAGAGATGTCTTTGTATATCGACATCCTTAATTTATCGATATTGTTGCTATAAGAAAAATAATTCGTACTTTTACCAATGCGGTGTGGTAAATCCTAAGATTTACTGTTTGGGTCCGGTAACAGTCCGAAATGGAAGCAAAATAAAGAAGTTTTCGAGCTTTTACCACTTGTTTTTGGTAAATCCTAGGTTTAGCGCGCTTATCCTAGATTTTACCGCATTTCGGACATTTACAGTGACATAAATACTGTTCAACTAAAATCGCATTTATTTAAATGAAATGAATATCTTTATTGCCTTTCCAACTTGCCAAAAAATTCCCATTTCAAATACAGGGTGTTTGTATGTGTTCCATCTCTCGTGGGGAGATTCCCCACGTAAAAATAAGATCACTTTTAGAATAGAAGATTAATTTAGCATTAAAAAAGATCTATTTTTAAAAATTTTAACATCCTGTAACTTTAAAACTATGCATTTTATAGGACCTTTTTTCATATTTTTTATGAGAAATCAATGAGTACGTATTTAACACTTTGGCCAAAATATCAAGAGGCAACTTTTAATCGGCACGCAATTGTAATGGCTACACAACTGTGCTAACAAGGGAAAAAAGTCAATGGCGCACAGTTTTTTTAGAAAAATATTCTAGTGATAACCCATATGCACATATGCCCCACTTGCAAAAAAATTATAACAAATAAAAAAAAAATGAAGACATTAACCCCCGTAGCTATCAAAAACAAAGCAGAATCGGACCTATTTTGATATAAAAAATAAATCCTATCTTTACCTGAGGAATCTCCCCACGAGAGATAGCACATGTTTTTTTAAACACCCTGTAATAGCAAATTTTTTATATTTTTTAATTGGCAATATTTTATAAAATAAAAATCATAAAGTCGTACAGAACTAAATACCATACAATCGAAAAAAAAAACGGCGTCAGCGATGGCTATGAAATAAAGATCGCTATCATTTTATATGTAAAATTATATGGGGAATGTCATCGTCATTTCCAAGCCAACTGGGTGCTTTTTTGGGTCATACGATATAATGAAAAACATTAAAATACCGTATGATCGAATAAAAACGGCGTCATCAATGGCTATGAAATGACAATCGATGACATTTCCCATATAAATTTACCTATAAAAAATGACAGCGATCTTCATTTCATAGCCATCGCTGACGCCGTTTATATTCGATCATATGGTACATGATATATACAGAGGGAGTAAAATATAGACGTGTATTTAATTTTATTACTTCAAATGAATCAACCTGTATTTTACAACATAAATAAAAAGAATTTTTATCCAACTATAGATTATGGATAACATTAGGTTATATCCAAAATAATAATTGTATATACATTAATTTCCTTTTTCATAATGATACACATTTCCAGCGGTATAGGAACAATGAATGGTATTTGCTATCAATTCAATGACTAAAATAAATACAAAATAAGGAGATTTATTAAAGTTAACGTTACTAAACCCATATGCAAAAACTACCTAATTTAAAAATTATATAAATTCTTGATTTTAATATTGTCGCTCATCTAAATATATAAAAACAAGTTTCTTAAAAGAATTTGACAATAGTTTAAGGTTTTTTTCTATGATAGACACTGATAGACACACGATGAAGATGAAAGGATTAGCGGTATGTAGAAATTGTTTAAATTATACTTCCAATTTTTTGAAATCACTTTTATATTAATCATTACTCATTATACCAGTATTTAAAACCAAAACACACACAAAAAAAATGATTAAAGCTATCTCCTCAATTACACCCAGTTTAAAAATTACATTACAAAAATAGGTACTTGTTTAATATTACCTGAAACAATATCTGTTAGCTGTATCGAAGAGCATTACATATAGTAAGAATTTTCAATTTTAAGCAAATAAAATTAATTTAATAGAATAATTATTTTTAGATAGTAGAATTGGGGTTGGTATCTTTAAGATCAGCTGCATTTTTTTAAACAATATTCATGAGCTATATTGAACAGCATTACATATACAAGGTGTCCCAGAAATAAGTGCAATTATTTTAACTGGTTGTATAGTTCAACCCCTGAAACACGCCTATGAGGTTTTTTCGAGAATTTTTTTTTGAAAATTCGGAAGTTTTTGGATTTTTTTTTAGTTTTTAGTTAAAAAACAATTTCTTGATAATGTGGCAACATAGGTAGTAGATTAAATTTACAAGAAAGAAAATCATGAAAAGATCCAGTAGTTCTCAAAATTTGAGGAAAAAATCATTTTCTTTGGAAATGGAAATTTTCAAAGTAAAATAACTCCGTTATTTTGGACTTATTTGAAAAACCATAAAGACAAAATATGTTTCTTTTATCGAGATCTACCACCCCTTAAAATAATTGCACTTATTTCTGGGATACCCTGTATAGAAAGAACTTTCATGTTTCCGATTTATAACTTAAGCAAATTAAATTTAAAAAATCATTATTTTTTAGATAGTTCTATTGGGATTGGTTTCTTTAGGATCAGCTGCCATTGTGGTGCACAAAAGTCCATTTGACCACGTTCATAGTTACTCAGAAAACCACCTTAATAGTGGACAATACATTCCTGATGACAGCGGTTTGTATAGATAAATTTATTTTCTTTATATTATTTACTTAAATTGAAAACTTTAGGTCAGTATGTAGATGACGCATCGGGTAAATATGTTCATCAAGATGTACCTTATGTTCACATAGCCGGACCTGAAGGTAAGTGATAAATGTTTATGTTTAATATAGCCCAAGAAAGTAAAAACTTGAATTTTTGATATACCGTATGATCGAAAAAAAACGGCATCCAGTTGGCTGGGAAATGAACATCGATGGCATTTCCCATATAAATTTACATATAAAATGACAGCGATCTTCATTCCATAGCCATTGCTGACGCCGTTTTTTCTCGATCATACGGTACAAGTTACTTTGAAAGATCTAAAAACGAATTGTGAAATATTTTTTTTAAATTCACCCCCGAGAAGGGGTAAAATAAATAAATAAAATTAATTTTTTCAAAATACCGTATAGAGCGTTCCATTTTACATAAAAATGGTTTCTATACTTTTTTGCTCAAATCAAAATTAACCCAGAGAGGAGAGGGTAGCTAGAAGTCCTTATTGTTTCTCTAAAATTTGAAAAAAAAAACATTTTATTTATATTTTAATATTAATTATTTTATTAATTAATAATTATGCCTTTTCTCGGGGTTAATTTAAACAAATCTTAATTGGAATTTATAATTTTCAAAACAGATTGAATAAAAACGTTAAATATATGAATTTTTCAGCAACTTATAATTTTGTTTAAATTTTTTTTAATCACCCTCAACTTCTAGCCACTCTATTACGGTTAATTTTGACCCGAGCAAAAAAAGTATAGGGATCATTTCTATGTAAAATTTCACGGTCAACAACTTTTATTTGAACTTTTTTTCTAATTCTTAGCGTTTCTCCGAAATTTCAAAGAAATAATTTTATTTACTTATTTCACCCCTTCTTGGGGGTGAATCTAAAAATCTTTCACAATTTGATTTTATATCTTTCAAAGTAACTTATATCAAAAATTCATTTTTTTACCAAAACTTCATATTTAAAGGCCTATTTACTTGGACTAAATTTTGGCCTACTTTTAATTCTGTCTAACAAAAATATACTATTTGTTACTTAATATCTTGAATATTCGTCAAATTTTATAGTGGTTGATTTAAATTAATTTAACATTATGAATCTATACTAATATATAAAATCCTTAAGTGACTGACATACTGATTAATCACGATCCTGCTCAAACCACTCAACGTAAGAATCTCAATTTTTGGCAAACGGATTGACTGTGGGTTGTAGAGGTTCGATAAGGAGGGGCTTCTCGAATCTCAAATTCGAAGAGGGTGAAAACGCCCCTCAAATATTACAATATTTGTTATTTAAAAAACGGTTAGTCTTTCGGGAAAACGCTTGGACAAGCATCATTTATTTAGTTTTTTACATATTTTGAATTTTTTTAAAGAATCATACAGGGTGTTCCGAGTTGGGTAATTTTTTAACCACGATTCTGCTTAAACTGCTTGACGTAAAAGGCGTATATTTGGCAAACGGATTTTTCGAAAGTCGAATTCCAACGAGATCAACCGTAGGGGTTGATCTCGTATTATTACCAAGTCTCAAATATCACTCAAATATTACCAAGTTATATAATAATATCGCCATATTGTTTTTTCTCATGCTGACATAAATGTGAGAAAATTTTATCCAGTTTGTACGTTAATGGAAATTCTTGCTTTCCTTTATCATCACCATTACAAATGATTAATTCGACGCGAACGAAGTCGCTGGTACACGCTAGTATCTATATAAAAATGTATTTACCTATACTTATAATACATTTATAATACCCATACATGTAGACAACATATACAGGGTTGTTCACCACATACGACACGGAGTATTGTAGCTAAACGATTAGATTTTTACAAATTGTAAGTTTTGGGTTCGTGGAAGGCCTATTAGAGCTACAATTTAAAAATATTTTTACAAGATACAGAGTGTCCCAAATAAATAAAAAATATCAAAGTTGTATTTTTTTAAATGGAACACCCTGTATATTATTGCAGTTTTAGTTTCTACGATTAAAATAAAGGTAAATTTGATTAAGATTATCTCACTCATCAAGATCACTTAAACCTTACAGTTTTTGAAATATTTTCAATTTTGTGAAATTGCAGTATAAATTTTAAGGGTTCATTTCTCCGAGGGTATCAAAGTTTTTAGTACTAAATATTTACTGAAGTTTATTTATTGATCAGTTATTGTGTTGCAATAATAAAAATTATACTATTATCGTTTTTAGTAAAACGATAATATTACTAGCCAATTTGTATGCAAAAAGAAAACTATGTAAATCTTTATAAAAGAGTATACCATTAATTAAATATACCACCAGTATTTACGACTAAATACTAATTAATTACGTACTTAATTGCGTTCATTAATAAATTATTCTAAATAAATGTGGATTTGAATCAGAAATCTATATAATAATAAGTTATGAAAATCAACGTTTCTGTTGTTATAAATAAGCATTTGTCAAAAAATTAAATATCATTTTTAAGGTGTTGGTTTCTTACCACACTGTCTAATACACATACATAATTCAGTTTTTTAGTATTTGGAGCAATTATTATTAATCAACGCAAACAGTCAATTAATGTAGTTTGAATACTCGAATCATATTAATTGATCCTCTTTAACAAATATTTAAACAGTTTTTTTTTTATTTTTTAATGAAATAAACGAACTATATCGACAATATTAGTATCTGTACTCTTTAAAAAGTTGGTACATCTTTAAAAATAATCTAAAATGTCAGTATTCCATGGGTATATTCATAAATGAGTTCTAAATTACAAGAAAATGCATTTTCTACGGAAACTTGAAGAGATAGGTAAAAAATGGTATAATACAGTCTGATAGACAATTAAATTGTGCATCTGATTCTCATAAAATATACAGAGTGTTCTATTTAAATTAAACAAGTTATTGCCGTTTAAAGCTAATAATTATTTAAAATAAATATTTAGACACTCTGTATAAAGTAGTAAAATATTTATTATTGCAACACAATAACTGATCAATAAATAAACTTCACTAAATATTTAGTATTAAAAACTTTGATACCCTCGGAGAAATGAAGCCTTAAAATGTATACTGCAATTTCTAAAAATTGAAAATATTTCAAAAACGGTAAGGTTTAAGTGTAATAGACCTTAATCAAATTTACCTTTATTTTAATCGTAGAAACTAAAAATGTAATAAGATACAGGGTGTTCCATTTAAAAAATACAACTTTGATATTTTTTATTTATTTAGGACACTCTGTATTTTGTAAAAATATTTTTAAATTGTAGCTCTAATAGTCCTTCAACGAACCCAAAACTTACAATTTGTAAAAACCTAATCGTTTAGCTACAATATTCCGTGTCGAATGTGGTGAACAACCCTGTATATTTTTTTTTATATTTTCTGACATTAATGGGATAAGATATACTTAAAATATACCTTTCTTAAGAAGTTTCATTATAATTTTTATAAATTTTGAATTAATATTTATTTAATATTTCACGCAGTCAATTTTCGCCACCAGCACAAATAGAATTTTATTGTAATAGCTTAGAGCTTACAAAATATGACTTATAAATATCTTTCAAACATCTAAAACAACGAGATGTTTAAAATATAATGCTTTATTAAAATATTTCTTTAGGAACGTCTAACAAATCTTTGTTCTTGCTATCTTCAGTGATAAACAGCGAAAAATATGTACAGAAAATTTAATTTAATATCGTTTTCAATGGGATCTTGATATAAAATGAAAAAATAAATATGCTTTTATGAATATTTAAGTGATACATTATACGCGAGATAGGTACTTTTCATTTTCAAGTTTGTTCTTGATATTTTTTTAATAATTTCTATATTAAATTAATAGTTTATTTTTAGACTATTAATTAAATTATAACACAAAAATATAATATTACTTAAAATATGTAATTCAAAATAATAGTTTTATTAAATGTAATATTATTTGAATCACCTCTACAGACTATACTCAATTTACTAGAAAAAAATGTTTTGATATTTCATCATTTTCAGCTTAATCAACCATTTCCAATTATTGTGTAGCCTGTATGTATTAGTTATTCCAAATATACAGGGTGTTTCAAAACAAATGCGAAAAACTTCAAGGGGTGATTCCTTGTTAAAAATAAAGGGTAGTTTGCTTTATAAATGTTGGGTCAAAAGTCAACCATTAGGGAGATATCGCTGTACAAACATGGCGGAAAAATAATGTTTTTATTTTTTATCTTGAAAACGAAAAGAGATAGACTAATGAAATTTTATGGAAGCATTACTGTTATGAAAACACACTTTCTGGTAATTTTTTCACTTTTTTAAAATGAGTGGAAGGAGTTGAAATAAATTACCCCTATCATCCTTGTTAACGAAATTTAAAGAAAAATCTTATCAAACACATGCAAAAAAAATAATTTCGATAGCTTAATTTGTTTAGAAACTTTTTTATCTCTTGTGTTTTTTTGATAAAACTCGCCGATTTGAAATTAAAAAATAAAACAAAATCATTTTTAGATAAAGAAAAAAGGCTTCGGAATAATTAATTGATCGTAAAATAATAACGTAGTACATATTGCAGTAGAGTAATGTCAAATAAAATAACATTAGACAAGTGACAGAGGCCGACTAATTTTTTTCCTAAAAAAACTCCAGCAGCCCATTGGATTCTTTATCTAAAAATGCTTTTTCTCCTGACATGTAATGCTTTACATTTTATTTTTTAATTTCAAATCGGTGAGTTTTATCAAAAAAAAAACAAGAGATAAAAATGTTTCTGAACAAACTAAACTATCCAAATTATTTTTTTTTTCATGTGTTTGATAAGATTTTTCTTTAAATTTCGTTAACAAGTATGATAGGGGTTGTTTATTTCAACCCCTTCCACTCATTTTAAAAAAGTGAAAAAATTACCAGAAAGTGTGTTTTCATAACAGTAATGCCTCCATAATTTCATTAGTCTATCGCTTTTCGTTTTCAAGATAAAAAATATAAACATTATTTTTCCGCCATCTTTGTACCGCGATATCTCCCTAATGGTTGACTTTTGACCCAACGTTTATACCAAATATACGCAAATTACCCTTTATTTTGAACAAGGAATCACCCCCTGAAGTTTTTCGCATTTATTTTTAAACACGTTGTATATATTCTTCTATTATTTCCAGTATTGTTTTATTTAGAATGTTTTTCTGTCCACTAGTTCGTTTACATTACTTTATAGTTTTTGCTAAATCTATTTTGAGACCTACTTTATTGCAAGCTGTATTTAGTTCGTTAATTTGGGCTTGTAGTTCTTCAGGACTATTGGCAATCAGGCAAATTTTAGATCAAATAAATTCACATTGATATTAAATGTGAATGGTGTTTCCCTCTAGTAGTTCTTATTCAGCTGTTCGATTATACAATTCCTACTATAATCATTAATAATATAATAATAGACTATACTTCTAGTTTAAAACAACTCAACAAAATTTTTATCAAATTCCAACAAAACTTCTCTACTACTAAAAATAAATAACCAAAATAAGAATCTTTTTCCATTAATCAATATTCTAAGAATATCAATGTTATCGCCTTCAACTTAATCAAAATATGAGGTCAACAACAACTGTTATCTCATTAAATAACCTTAAGGTTTGAAATAGAGAAACCTTCGTTAAAACACATTACGCTATGTATATTTAAATCTTTCATTGAGAGTAGTAAGCCTTTGTTTTTGGTTTTACCTTTCGCAAAAATATCTTGTACTGAAAATAAAAATAAATGTCTTAAACACAAAATTTCACAAAGCATTTAATTTTAAGATAACGTTTTTATTTATGGCTTTTATTTTTCAAAGCAAAAATCAAATCTGTATATTAAAGAGGAGCCAGTATCTAACCCTTAAGGAAAAAACTCGCAAAAAAGTTCGTTTTTTGAATCAATTAAATGTGTTTATGAAAACATATTTATTAATTTCTGAACTGTGTTGTGAAAGAAATTCTTTGTGCGTAATTGAAAGAGACTTTCAGATATATTTTTGTTTATTTCAATTATAGAACAAAAAAGAAGTACTAGAATAACTTCACACGCTAACATCATACTTAATATTTTGTTTTTTGTTTTTAATTAAATCTGAATTCACTGTCAGTGGGTATATTAATATGTTTTTTTAATAATAACAAAACGAACTTATACATTGTTGTATATTTGACTTAATATAACATTATGTCAAATTAAAAATTATCAATTAACACCAAATCACAGTTAGCTAATGAGATAATTCCAAAAAACTTTGGGGCTTATAAAATATTTTCTGGTTTACAAGGTTTCTTCGTACAGTGACTTCCCTCAAAAACTAGTTTCCTTAACTAGAAATAAGAAAGCTCCATATGGTGTAGCCTATTACCAAAGATTTTTGTCGTATCCACTCTATTCTCTTGCGCTCTTTCTTGATTATTCCCAGCATAGCATATTTCGTTTCATTGAGTATTAGGTGACTTGCAGTTTCTTTATAATAAGTATCCAGGTTTCGCATGCATAGGTCATGACTAGTAGTAGACATTGGTCGAATGTTTTCTTCTTTAGATAAGGTGGTATTGTAGATTTAAATATGATTGAGTTTACTCCATAAGTACTCCATACTAACTTAATTATATAGATAACAGTAGAAATCCCAAGCTGTGTATATTTAATCCGTTGTTGGTCCACTCCAGTTGACAGAAGATTTCTTCTAGTGTTGCTGTAAACAGCTTTGGGGTTATCGCGTTTCCCTGCTTTTCCTCCTTTGGCAGTTGGGTACTCTGGGGTAGTTTTATATATCATTACTCCTTCTTTGGCTTCTTTGTTTGGCGAGAGTTTCTATATAAGACATGTCAATACCTTGTTTCGCTAGGGTTTCTATTAGTGCTTTAAAATATATGGAGTGAAAGCCTTCTCAAAGTCTATAAAGGCTATGGCTAGTCGAAGTTCGTAAGAACTATACTTTTTATTATTTATAATACCAAAACGTTATGCCACTAAATTTCTACAAAATAAAACGGTATTTTTGGTAAACATCACTGCATTGATTCAACGCAGACCAATTTGTCAGTGGTCGTTTACTAGTAAAACAAATTTGCTTAACATACAAAAAATGTTTAACGTTTCAGGAAGTTTAACTCCTTCCGTTGTAAGAAGCAAAAGAGTACAAAAAGAACAAAGAAAAAAACTATTTAAAACATCTAAATACAGTTATTAAAAAACACTTTATTTTTTTTTAAATACGTCTAACCGTTGGGGCTCTGTTAAAATTACGTTACATGAAATCTAACTTCAAATTAATAATTACTAATGAGATAAAACCAAAAAGTTTTAACTTTTTGTACTTGACTTTGATTTTTTTGTTTGTTTTTAATTTTTAGTTGTAATATTTATATTGTCGATTAAACAGTCTAATTCTTTGATTTTACTTTTATTTTTAGGTGGATTTGGCGGAAACGGAGGATTTGGTGGTGTAGGCTCTGATGGTTCAGGAGGTCATGGTGGACCAGGTGGACCAGGAGGACCAGGAGGACCAGGAGGCCCAGGTGGCCCAGGTGGTCCAGGTGGTCCAAGTGGTCCAGGTGGCCCGAATGGTCCAAATGGGCCACCTGGTCCTCCAGGAAATTATCAGCCAAACAGCGGTAATCCATTCGGACCTGATGCTTCAGGTTCAATCCACCCAAATTCTATTTCAAACACTTATCTGCCAGTCTAATTTTTTCTATTCATAGCATAAATTTTAGTTGTAAATAACATTGCATATTTTTAGTTAATTGTACCAATAAAAGTATTATTTTTTGAACTTTTTGTTATTCATCTTTCAATGTTAATTCAAGACTCAAAGAACAATTATTATTTCGCATAAAATATTATTCTGCACAATAATATTTTTCTTCAAAATTGAGTTCTGAATTTTTCTAAAAAAATCTTAATATTTTTAAACTTTCCACTCAAGAATATTCCGCTGTATGCATATAACTTTCTTTAAAAAGAATGAAATACAGAAACATATACATTATTCAGACTGTATATTAGCATATTAAAATATTTTTATTCCAGAAAACTTCCAAATTTATTTCGAACAATTTTTTCGATATTTTTACGAGAATATACAACTTCTTTTGTTAATTTTGATATGTTGTTTGTTTTATTTACCGCAGAAACACCCAGACCTTTTTTTAAAAATTTTAATTTTTACTAAGGAACTATTGGAGATACGGGTTTCTAAAAATGTTTTTATACAGAATTTTGAGTAAATGAATTTGTAAACATATTTTGACTTTTTATGAAATTTTAGTTTCGGAGATATAGTATAAATCCGAGTATAAATCGGACTTTTTTTTTAAATTTTAAATTTTACTAAGAAACTATTGGAGACGGGAGAACGGGATTGAAACTATACGGAAACAATTGAAGACTACGGCAAACACGATTATGATTTTTGTGGAGAAAAAATTGAAAATTTAGAATTTTTTTTAAAAAAAACATTTTTTTTTTAGTTTTTAGCGGTTTTTAGTTAAAAACATAATTTCTTGATAATATGGCAACATGGTAGTAAATTGAATTTACAAAAAAAAACAGAAAAGATCCAGTGGTCCTGAAAGATCCAGTGGTTAAGAACTCGGTTATTTTGGACTTTTTAAAAACGGTAAAGAGAAAATATGAGCTGTTGTTTCTTTTATCGAGATTTACCAGCCCTCAAAAAAATTCACTTATTTAAGAGTCGCCCTGTATAGTTATTTCCTTAATTACTGAACGTTATTAAATTCATTATAGAACTTACATAGGCAGGCAAAAAAGTATATAAAAGTATTAGTAATTTTTGTTCTTTAATGTAAAAATCCTCAAAACTATAGCGATGTTCTGAGAGTAGAATTTATGCTCATATCTATTTCTGTTGACCTAAAATATAAGCCCCTTCATATATACCCAAGATTAATCCTATATAAAACAATACCGTCTGAGGATTAGCAGAATATTCGATTGTTCAGTCGGGGGTCAAGTACAGAACAATTCAAGCGAGTTCGCTCTATTTGGTAGATATTTCCTAACAACGAGAACATATTTTATTGAAATTAACGAATATTCATGGATTAAAATTTATTTAATTATATAAGAACACATTTTACTAAATACTTAATATTTACCACAAGATCCTACTTTTAGGTTAATAGATATACAGGGTGGCGCTACTCATAGAAATTAAATTTTGTGAGCATATGTAGCTTAATTCAAAGCACTTTTTAAAAATATAAAGAGTTCTACAGGGTGTCCCAAAAAAGTTACATATCAAAGTTGTGTTTTTTGTAATGGAACACCCTATATATTAATTGATTTTCGGATTCTGCGAGAAAAATAAAGGTGAGTTTTATAAGAGAAGTATATGACTAAAATTTAAGGTTTTTGACATATTTAACATTTTCTAGAAATAAAGAACAATTTTTAAATTACAATAAAGGCTACCTAAATTGGAATTTACCCGGTATAACCTAATATGTAATTAAATTAACTATTGTACTCTAATTAAGTTAAAACTTGGTCCAAAAAGTTATACAGGGTGAGACAAAATTAATATTGAACATTGGTCACCTTCAAAAGTATGTTATTCTTTTAGACAAAGATTTTCCTAGATATTTTCATTTACATGATTTGATCTGACTAGATCTTTATTATTTGGTAAAATCTAGGTGGCTGTGATATGTCTGACGTTATTTCAACACAGCTGTCTCATTAGTTCAACTTTAACAACTAGTTATCATTTTATGTCAGTTAAAACACACAAAAAAAAATTCTCAGAAATTTGCCGAAAACGCAAACTTCCTACATAAACGTACGTAAAATCCTACATCAGAGAAAATTGATATGATTCTATTAGTTGGTGAATGCAGTGTGCATTCGCCAATTAATAGAATACTTAAACGCTCCTGATTTTATCTAATCTGGTTTTTTTATAAGGATATGTTAAAGACAGTGTTTACAAAACTCGACCAACCATTGTCGACAACATAAGAGAAATTATTGTAGCTGCATTTCGAGGCAGAACTCCACATAATGCCTTTTAAAATGAAAAGATCATTTTGAAAAGACAATCATTTTATGCAGTTAACAGGAAAGGAAGCATTTTGAGCATTTGATTTCATGTAGCTAATTTTTGTCACATAATTATATGTTTATATCTAGTTTTAATTCTGTAATAATTAAAATATGTTTTGAACGTGTATCTTTTTTCTTATCCTTGAGTATTTTACTCTACAGTCTTTAATTTTTGTTAAATTAACAAAAGGTATATCACACAGCCACCTAGATTTTTTTAAATAACAAAAGATCTACTGACGCAAAATCATAAAAATTAAAATATCTATGAAAGTCTTTGTTTGAGGGGTAGGCAACCTTAATAATATTTTGAAGATATATAAATTCCTCATTGAACACCGGAAAAATATACTGGGTGTTCCATTTAAAATAACGGAGTAACTTGCATTTAAAAGTGATTAATGTTCCATATTAATTTTGTCTCACCTTGTATAACTTTTCGGGTCAAATTTCAATTTGGTTTATAATACAATGGTTACTGTAATTAAATATCAGGCTATACAAGGTCAACTAAAATTTATGTAGCTCGAATCATAGCTATTATCGAAATTTAAAATTTACTCTTCATTTTCAGAAAGTGTGAAATATGTCAAAATCCTTAGATTTTAGGTATATGTTTCTTTAATAAAACTCACCTTTATTTTTTCCTAGAATCCAAAAATCCATTAATATATAGGGTGTTCCATTAGAAAAAACATAACTTCGATGTGTAACTTTTTTTGGAGATACCCTGTATAATTTTATATATTTTTATAAAATTCTTTCAGTTAACCTACATAAGCTGCCAAAATTTCATTTCGATATAAACTACCGTTCTCCTTGGAGCTTCCGCGGCGTATGGGAGGCGCCACCCTGTATATCGGGTCAACTAAAATACACGCGGGCTGTATTTCAGAAACTACTTATCGTATAACTTTGGGAAAAAATTGTAATAAGTAAATCAGTCAAAAGAAATCGCTGGAAATTATTTTCAATTTCGAAAAATGTTCGCTAGAGGGCGGCATCAGTGATGGCCAATTCAGGATTTATCTCAAAAATATACAGGTGAAGAGGTATTTTAAATATTGCTATTATAATCAATGGGAAATTTGTATTTTTTTGGTATAGCGTATTCTGCTTTATCTCGTAAAGTGGTGGGGGAAGGTTAAACTTGCTTTTATTAAAATAAGGATAAATCTAATTAAACAAACTAAGGCTCGTTTAAGAGAGCTTTTCTTTCTTAATAATCTTCAGTACAAATTTTGTTTCAAAATATAGATTTTTTCGTGGTAGCTAGAGGCCGCTGTTTGGCATCATAACAGATATTGCGCTTTAGCATAAAAAACTTAAATAACGGATTTTGTTTCTTTTTGTACAAGATAAATAGAACACATTGTCAAAATTTCCAAAATATCAGCGCAAACCGCAACTTTCTATGTTCTCTCTGGCTATTCCTCTTAGGTTACACAAGAATATTTAGTTTTAATCATTATCTAACATTATTAATTACAATTTGGAAAAAAATATATTTCCAAAATTTAAAATCGCAAAACTGTTAGGCAATACATAGTGACTAACTGTTTTGGCGGTATTACTCTTCAAGCAATACTACTATTATATTATTCAATTAAAGCCGCGTAAACAAACAACATATACAATTATACTTATTCCATTATAACAAAAATTAAATAATAAGCATATTGTAATTATATTGCTGCAGATTGATTGAAAAGTTTTGTTCTTAAATATTTACTCTACATATTATAAACGCCTGTTCAAATATTAATTTTGTGGAATATATATCAACATAAAACGAGATGTAATTAATGAAATATCATCGTAACAACAGCTATTTTAGAAACGTCTAGGTTTACTTATTTCAGTGAGATTTATGAAAAAAAAATCCTTTGCCTCGGGTACAGAAACCGCCACGTTTTGGAAATAGCTCTAAACAAAATTGAACGAGGTAATAGGAAACGCCAAGAAATCCCCCACGCCCTCCTCACCTGTTTCGAAGAGTTCTCCGCATAGTGTAGAGGCTGTTTAAGTTTATTTTTTAGGCATCCAAATTTTGAAGGTTTTCTTCGAAAAAATGACATCATAAATTTTAAACGTGTTTATGTAACATTATCGTCCATACATACGGTGTTGCATCGTCGGACGGGACATAGGAAATCCCATGTAAATTTTCATGGGGTCAATTATTGGCTTCCCTAATTATTTTAGAGAATAATTCTATTTAGGTTTATTAAAGAGCACTAAAACCCACGTACAAAAGAATTTTGATTAGCTCGTTTACGAGTTATCGCCGATTTCTTTTTTATATTTCTCCTTTCTTATGGCACTGTATTTATTTATGAGCACCAGTCAAGGTAAAAGATAACTGTCAAATGAAGTTGTCATTTCAGAAATTTATCTATTTAGTGCTTTATTATTATTGAAACCTCATTCCTACATCGGAAATCTTAAAGATGTATTTATAAATACAAATTAATATGAATTAAAGTAAAATAAAGTAATCAATTATAAAGTTAATTATAGTATTATTACAATATTCAATAACTTATTAATTTAGGTACTATTAAATTGTTAGAACTTTAGGATTTAAGAAGATGTTCAAATATTCCTCCATCGACTGCTAGACAATAACCCAGGCAATCATAAAATTCTCTTCTTACATTCGCTATCAATTATTACTCTTATTAAGGTTACTATTTCCTTGATAATACCATTTAATCATCAATACTTTCTCTTCGGTAGTGTAATTCATGGCTAATATTTTCGATGTAGGTATGAGTTTTTAATAATAATAATAAAGCACTAAATAGATAAATTTCTGAAATGACAACTTCATTTGATAGTTATCTTTTACCTTGACTGGTGCTCATAAGTAAATACAGGGCCATAAGAAAGGAGAAATATTTAAAAATAAATCGGCGATAGCTCGTAAACGGGCTAATCAAAAATATCTAAAGTTATTCTTTTGAATGTGGCTTTTAGTGCTCTTCAATAAACCTAAATAGAATTATTCTCTAAAATAATTAGGGAAGCCAATAATTGACCCCATTAAAATTTACATGGGATTTCCTATGTCCCGCTCGACGATGCAATACCCGGTATACTTTTTACGATAATTTCTCGTAAAAAAGTCGTTTTTTTGCTATAACATATACAATATTCAAATTGAAATAAGTGTATAAATGCGGAATTCCTCTCTTCCAAACATATCTCCAGACAAACAACTACGACTATCCTCGTGGCAAATTGAACCCTTTCATGTCACGAATAATCATCATTTGTGCTTGTTTTCCATATACTTATCCGCGAATTTGCGCAAGTTTAGCAACAGGCAACGCACTCGGCGACCGGCAAGCTTAGTTTCAATGGAAGTTCCACTTGGAGTCGTGCGAGAGAGGAGTTTCCTTTCGTCCAGTGCCGTACGCCACACGCTTCCAATCAACAAGTAGGTAATTATTGTTCTGTCGCCAGTTCTGGGCCCCCTCAATTCCGCGTCGACTAGGGAGCGGTTTTAATGTGACAAAAAGGGCCGAAAACGACTTCGAGTAAGTATGTGTGTGTTAGTGGATAAGTTTTGAAACCCTTTACATGCTAATTAAGCTCGTTGTTTTTGTTTAAAGAACTTTAGGAAGTGTTTTTGCTCTATATAATATGTACAACTTTTAAAATATAACATTCTAAACATTAGAAGATACAAAATACCGTGTAATTAATTAAAAACCATTTGTTTAGCATTCAGGGTGTCGCTGGAATATTTGTATAGAGTTCTAGATATACAAGATCCGGTAATAGTGCGTCGGGCATCTGTAGCTGCTAGAATAAAAAAAAATTGGAAAAGAAACGAGAAAGTGCAAACCTAAAGTATATACTAGTATGTATTTCAGGAAAATATTTTAAATTCTACAGGATGGCTCAAAAAGTGTGAGTGGATCGGGATGATTTTTCTAATGGAACACCCTGTATAATATTGCATTTTTGGCATTCTTTCAGATCACTTTACATAATCCTAAAATATCACTAAATAGATTTAGATAGTTTCAGAGATAACAATAAATAAGTAAAAATTATATACTTTTGAAGCTTTCTTAAAAAAAGTATTACAAATACATGAACTGTCCTGAAATCAAAACTATATATTAGGTATTTACTTTAGATCGTCTGTATATTTACTTTTCTATAAATATCGTAATCCTAAATCATACAGGGTGTTCAAAATTCTATGCCCAACTTTCTAAAATATAAAATAACTTTTCTTGTTTTTTTTACATGGACACCTTGTATATTATTTTTTTATTTGATGAAGAATTAAAAAATTAACATTTTTTGTATTTACAGTATTTCAAAATTTTTAACGGTTTTGCAGATATTCGCGGTATTATTTTTTCATATGGCTCTTTGAACGGTAAAATACGAGAAAAATCATTGGGTGGCCTTGATAAAAATTTACTGTGCAAAATGCCATATAAAATATAAAATTGCGAATATCTGCAAAAATGTTAAAAAATTTGAAATACTCTAGCACAAAAAATGTTCATTTTTAATTATCCATCTAACAAAGATTTAAAACGAAGAAAAATTATTTTATATTTTAAAAAGTTTGGCGTAGAATTTTGAATACCTCGTATAGTTTAAGACGACCATATTTATAGCATAGTTAGTACAGACCATCTAAAGTAAATACCTGATATAGTTTTGATTTCAGGAGAGTTCTTTTATTAGTAATTGATTTTTTTAAGAGAGCCTGAAACTCATATATTAGGATTATGTAAAGTGAGCTGAAAGGAAGCCAAAGATGCAATAACATACAGGGTGTTTCATTTTAAAAAAAATCAACCCGATCCACTGACACTTTTTTGAGCCATCCTGTAGAAGTATACTATTTTCCTGTAATACATCCTAGTACAGACCTACTTCAGGTTTGCACTTAAACAAAATTCCCAAGTTTTTTATTCTACGAGATACAGATGCCCGACGCACTATTGTCGGACTTTGTAGATTAAATGTTTGTATGTGTGTGTTTAACTTTATCTTTAAAGTTTAATAATTGCGGAAAGAGGGTAGGTATATCAAATTTTATTATTTTTTATTTGTTTAGCTAGTTACTTACTAAAATATATTAGCTGTTAAGAAACTGCTATATACAGAGTGAGTTTTAATTAGGGGCAAATATATTTCTGGAACCCTTTGCCGCGTTTTAAATAAGTCCAAAATACCCCTTAATACAGGGTGGTCCGAATTGTATTCCGGAAACTTCTGCAGCATATTCTGCAGACTAAAATAAGTAAAAAAGTTCGTATAAATGTATATCCTAAAATGCTTAGTTTCGGAGATACAGGGTGTAGAAATTTCATTTTTATTTCGATTTTTCCATATAATTTAAGAAGTAACGTCAATATTTGGATGAAAATTGGTGTCTGACAGTTTTTGGACATGAGAAATTTGATTTTCATGTTAATATGACTCCAATTTGTAGAGGGCACCACATACATATGCTTTAACTGGTTTGAAGAGTAATAATTGTTCATCCATACCTGTATAAAACTACTGAGTAAAAAAATATACATTTACAACTTTTTCTACATAAAAAAGGTCTCTTGGTAAAAATCGCTACGACTAATGGTTCTCGAGATATTTGAAATTGAAATTATCAATACCTGTCAACATTGACAAATTAAACATGTTGACCAAATAGTTATTAGACTGAAATCTTAAATTTGAAATCTTTTTGTGCCAAAAGTTCAACAGAAACTGTTTAATCATCATTTTTTCGCAGAACAATTTATGATTAATTTAAAAAAATAAACATTTATTATTTCAGTCAAATAACTCTATTCAACGTGTGCTTATTTTTTGTCAATAATGACATGTATTGACTATTTCCATTTTAAATATCTTGAGAACGGTTACGCGTAGCGATTTTTACCAAGAGACATTTTTTACGTAAAAAGCCATGAAAATGTAAATTTTTTAGTCAGTAGTATTATACAGGCACCGTCGAAAAGTTATTACTCTTCAAAACAGTCAAAACGCATATAGGTGGCGCCCCCTATAAATAGGAGTCATTTTGACATCAAAATCAAATTTCTCGTATCACAAAACTCCCAGACACCAATTTTCATCCAGATATTGACGTTACTTCAGAAATTATTTAGAAAAAATCGAAATAAAAATGAAACTTCTACACCCTATATTTCCGAAACTAAACATTTTATGACATACATTTATACGAACTTTTTTACTTATTTTTATCTGCAGAATATGCTGCCGAAGTTTCCTAACTACTAATACTAATTAAACGTTGACGTCAATCCCCATTTCTTCAGATATTTTTGTAAAGGCATCATGCACACTATTTCAATTTTTTTTAATTTTTGTCGCTACGATTACATAAATATGGACAAGTATTTTTTCACACATATGAAGACAATATTGTTTTTTTCTTCCATTTTTTAGACTACTGTGTGTGAATTATTTTTATATCGATTGGCGATTGCTAGATGTACAGGATGTCCCATTTTTGAGTGTGTTTATGGGGTTTCTGGTTTATGAGTAGAGATATAAAGATGCTGTTTTCACATCATTGTTCTACTTATTATGAAACTAGTAAATATGCTACACACAGATTTATCCTAGCCTTCTTAGTTCAAAGTTATTTCTTATTTCTTTCTTTTACTTTTTATTTTTTAATTAGTAGAAATTTTTGCATTTTTTGATAACCTCTGTATCTCGATTATCTTATAACTTATCGAAAAGGTGAAAAGGATCAGTTATGGGCGGTGGGTATGTACCCAATTTGTAGATAAATAAAATTTGGGTATATATGTATATACCTACCTGTAGATTTAGATGAACATCCTAATTTTAATAAAAGGAGTTTCCGACGACCGCATAGTAAATACCCGGTATAATACCGGGAATAGAAATATACCAACATATATATATATATATATATATATATATAAGGAATATTGTAGATATACTCGTATTCTTGATATTACTGGTATTATACCGGGTATTTACTATGCGGTCGTTGAAAATACCTTTTATAAAATTAGACTGTTCATCTAAATGTGCAGGTATATACCGGATACCCTGATTTTGTTTTGTTCTACCTATGGAGTACTTACCCACCCTACCGCCCGTATCTTGTTTTTCAGGTAGAATGCAGTGACGAAACTAGTTCTTCGTTGGGAGCTGTCTATTTCGAAAAATAACTCAAACTTATGTCCTTTTTTTTTAAACAGGACACTCTATATATCATTTTTTATTTTATTTGCCTTGTTATGAGCTTTCTAAAATTATAATAAACTCTATATTTATTTATTTAAGTACTGCTAAACTGCTAAACGGCTCATATTTTATTTAACTTAATTTTACCAGATAATTTTGCTTTGCATCGTGATATTTTGATAAACTACACGGAAACTGAACTTGTGCCGCTTTTAAATAACATGCCAATAACCAACATTTTACGTCGAATAAATTAGTTGATTGTTTTGATTACCTAATTTAAACCAGCCGACTATATGTAATAAAGTTTAATAATGCATTTTTACCCCGTTTATGAAAATAAGTATTTTAGAAAGCCCGTAACAAGGAAAATAAAATAATATACAAAATATCGCATTTAAAAAAAACATATAAGTTTTAGTCAATTTAAAAAAGACAGATTCCAACGAAGACATAGTTACGTCACTGCATTCTACGTGAAAAACTGTACGGAAGACCGTTTTCACCTTTTCGATAAGTTATGATACAAAGGGGATTGAAAAATGCAATAATTTGAGATTCGCCCTGTATTTTAGGAAGTAAGAGAGCTAGGACATATCTGTATGTAGCATCTTTAGTTTCATAAAAAAGTAACAGCGTAATGTGAAAACCGCATCTTTGTGTCTCGACTCATAAACGAGAAACCCTGCAAAACACAATGAATGAATGAAAATGAAACACCCTGTACAGACGTACTGCCAAATCAAGAAATCAACTACGAATGAAATCCAAGATCGATTTATATATTTTATATATTTTAATATTTTTTTGTATTCGTGATAATTCCTTTGCTACTTCGTCCAAAAACCGACAGTACGGGGAAGGAGCGTTTCGAGGAAGTAAACGGACGAAGGAGCGTTTTGACGAAGGAACGAAGGAACACACAGTCGCATAAAATTGACATTTCCCATAGTAAATATAAGATTTTTGGACGAAGGGACGCGACGAAGGAAGGAAGTGAAGTAGCGAAGTGTGAGTATGGGGCTTAAAACACCTTTTGTCTTCTAACAAACAAACAAAGCACTTTTATATACTTACCAATTAACTTATTTTGATTCTAAAAATACGTAGTAGTTCTACGTCCACAGAATGTTGGGACACCCTGTATATTATTATAGTAGTATATTTAGAGTTAATTTCTTTTGTAGTGCTTATTTGTAAATTATTGTTATATTGTGTAGCAATAAATAAATCAAATTTATTAAGTGATAAATTCTAATATATAAATTTGAACTTATTTCTCTAATTTCAGCTTAATAACATTTATTTGTTTTCGGATTTCAGCCAAAATTTTTGTATTTAAATTTGTATAACTAGTGTGCCAACTACCTCGAAATTAATGAAGTAACTAGTAAGCCATATTAAAAGTGCCTCGGCTCAACTCAATAGGTAATGTTCAGCAACTTTTTTCAATCAAAATCAAAATACTATTTGATATGCGTGAAAAAATATATACAGAGTATGTCTCCGGATTGTCTTTACAAGGGAAAAAACTTTTTTACTATTGACGTTTTAAGAAAAATGCTTCATAAAAAAATTTGCTTCTTCTAAAATGGTTAATCCCGTTGATACTTTTCCAAATTTCCATACCGTTTTAGAGGAAATTAAAAAAACATGAAAATATAGTTATTTTTTTTCCTAAAAATGAAAACGCATTTCTATGATAATAAATTTTCGATTTAATTCTTTAATAGATTGTTATTGATAGAATTTTAATTAACATCATATTTTTTGCAATTTTAAAATGTTAAAGAAGCACAAAATTGATTTAGTTCAATGCTATGAAAAGGGTGATAATAGTTATCGAAAAATGTGATACTTTAACAACAGTAAAGAATATGAATCAAAATTAATAATAATCATCTGTCAAAGAATGAAATCGCGATTATATTGCCACAGAAACGCCGTATAATTTTTGTGATCATGCGTGAATTTTGCAATCATGCTGAGTGCAACAAATATGCTTTTTGCACATATTGCACACAACATTTTTTATACGATTGAATTGAACTTGTTATTTAAAAGTTCATTAAAAAGTTTTTACAGTAATTCACAGAATAATATATAAAATCCTTAAGTGACTGACATGCTGATTAATCACGATCCTGCTCAAACCACTCAACGTAAGAAGCTCAATTTTGGCACACAGGTTGATTCTAGGGTGTAGAGGTTCCATAAGAAGGGATTTTTCGAAATTCCAGTTCCAAAAGGGTGAAACCACCCCTCAAATATTACAATATTTTTTATTTAAAAAACGCTCAAGTTTCCGAAAAAAACGCTTAAACACGTATATTTTATTTTGTTTTTTTACATATTAATTACATTATTATAAGATTTTTTTAAAATGTATACAGGGTGTTTCGAAAAATCTGGTCATTGATTAATCACGATTCTGCTTAAAGCGCTTTACGTAAAAAGCTGATTTTTGGAAAACTTGACTTTAGGGTGTAGAGGTTCGATAAGAAGGGATTTTTCGAAACTCGAAATCTAAGGGGGTGAAACTATCCCTCAAATATTAAAATATTTTTATTTAAAAATTGATGAGTTTTTTGGAAAAACTCTTAAACACGTATATTTTATTTTGTTGTTTATATATTTTAAGTTTTTTTATAAATTTATACAGGGTGCTTCATAAAATATGACCATTGAGTAATCACGAAACTGCATGACGTTTAAAGCTGATTTTTGGCAAACGGATTGACTGTAGGGTGTAGAGGTTCGATAAGGAGGGGTTTCTCGAATCTCAAATTTCAAGAGGGTGAAACCGCCCCTCAAATATTACAATATTTGTTATTTAAAAAACGGTTAGTCTTTCGGGAAAACGCTCGGACAAGCATAATTTATTTGGTTTTTATACATATTTTGATTTTTTTTTAAATCATACAGGTTGTTGTAAAAAGTTGGGTAATTTCTTAACCACGATTCTGCTTAAACTGCTTGACGTAAAAAGCTTATTTTTGGCAAACGGATTTTTCGAAAGTCAAATTCCAACGAGATGAAACTACCCCTCAAATATTACCAAGTTATATAATAATATTGTTTTTTCTCATGCTGACATAAATGTGAGAAAATTTTATCCAGTTTGCATGTTAATGGAAATTCTTGCTTTGCTTTATCATCACCATTACAAATGATTAATTCGACGCGAACGAAGTCGCTGGTACACGCTAGTAACACTATAAACAAATAAATATTTGTTTAATAACTTTTTTTCAGTTCATTTTAATTTTAATGTCACAGTTTGAACAATTCACTAAGGTAAATAATTGATGGACAAACTTCATTTACAGTAGTCTTTTGAATTTTATTCTCATTTCTGCTCATAGAGCTCTCAAGTTCATAATTTTCACGTAAAACTCTAACCCAGAATGTTGCTGTACGGTGTCCAGTATTGGTAATTGGTTTTCCTCCCAGGATTTGACAATTTTTTTTTCTTTAGTTAAACTCGTCATTAATAATGTCAAGGTGTTTTTTGCGCTCGTATAAAAAATTGACTTTTAATACAGTAGATAATGTAAAGAATAGCTACTTTTTGCACGATCGTAAAAAAAAATATTTTACGTCAGTTGTGTTGATGCGTGAATCGTAAGAGTAGCATGGATAATTTGACATTTCTCTCTAATTCTTATTCTTCATATTTTTAATTGTAGCAAAATCCCCTTATTCACTTTCATCTATTCTATATTATCGTCAAATAATATTGGAAAAAAATGTTTGGTCATAGGATTAAAAAAATGCTCAATAAAGTTAGAGTACAGCATGACCGATGACAACAATTTATATTCTAAAATATTGACACACCCAATTTAAAACCTGTCGCCCTATATAATTGGATTCAAGTTTCCGCATAATTGTTTTTATTTATGAGAAGAACACAATCCAAATATCGATTTTCTTTAATTATCTCACCGCTACATGCGTTGATTAAAGGTTTAGCGCAGTAATAACATTTGTCACGTTTGCTAGTTATGGAGAAAAACAACCAAAATGCCATCGGCAACAATGTACAGGATGGAGACGACGATTCGCTCAGATCGCTCAGTTCCGAAGACATTTCCCAAATGACTTCCAGAAGGTACTGCTGTGCCAAGTCTATCAATCCTGCTGATGGAAGGGGACGAAAACTGCATCTGCTGCAAATGTTAGTGTTGCCCTTTATACCGATTATGGCGCTGATCGTGCAAACTTGTCTAATGCTGAACAACATCATGATTTTTAAACATGACAGCATCGAAGTTGAAAATCAGGTAAGATATTAATGATCCTCTTATTGAAAATAAGATAAATAAACAAACCTTGCTGTACAAAATGATGGTATTAAAGATATACAGAGTGGTCGAGAGAATGTATTCGGGAAACTTAAACTTATAAAAATAATTTAAAAAGTTATGTCCTAAAATGCTCTGTTTCTGAGATACAGGATGTAGAATTTTCATTTTTATTTGTGTATGGGTGTTTTTAGCCGACCATACCAACAGTTATGGTAGGCTATTAAGATCGGCAAAAAAAAAAGTTTTTTTAATTTCACTCAAAATGAGTTATTTGGGTCATAAATGACCTAAATACAAAATATTTTCACGGTGCCTGTCTGTCTGTCCGTCTGTAACACGATAACTCAAAAACCGCTGAACCGATTTTAATCAAATTTGGCACAAAAATAGTGTGGCACCCGAGAATATAGCCATTAGTTTTTGGTGAGGGTGGGGGGTTGGTAAGGGGGTATGGGAGGAGCTTAAAAATTTTAAAAAATCGTAACTCCAAAGTTATAGTAGCTAGCTGAACGCAGTTTACAATTTCAGATTAGGAATAATATTTGCAACAAAATTTGTAATAACATCAAAATCAGTCGCAGTTTTTGAGATAATTGAAACTAAAAGAACTACCTACCAACTTTTTATTAACATATTTTAATATGGATGGCTATACGTGCCTCCCGGCGCCAATTTTTTGACATAAGAAATTCGATTTTCATGCCTACTTTTATAGGGCGCCGGCGCCGTCGCGGCGCCGTCTATATGTTTCTGGACTGTTTTGAAAAGTAATAACTTTTCGTCTGTATCTGTATTACACTATTTAGTAAAAAAAATATACACTTTCGCCGTTTTTTCCGTACAAAAGATCGCTTGGTAAAAATCGGAACGAATAAGATAAGATACGGTTCATAAGATATTTGGAATCGACATTATCAAAGCATGTCATCATTGAGAAAAATTAAACATGTTAACTAGATTAAACTTAAATAATAAATTTGGAAATATCTTTTTGCTAAAGGTTCAACAGAAACTTAAAAAAAATAATAAAACCTAAAAATGAAAAAAAAAAATTAAATTTACAAATTTATCATTTCAGTCAAATAACTATACCGGGTGGTCCGAACTGTATTCCGGAAACTTCGGCCGCATATTCTGTAGATAAAACTAAGTAAAGAAGTTAATATAAATGTATGTCCTAAAATACTTAGTTTCGGAGATACAGGGTGTAGAAATTTCATTTTTATTTCCATTTTTCCAGATAATTTCTGAAGTAACGTCAATATGTGCATGAAAATTGGTATTTGGGAGTTTTTTGACATGAGAAATTTGATATTGATGTCAATATGACTCCTACTTGTAGAAGGAGCCATCTGCATATTTTTTAATTGGTTTGAAGTGTTTTAACTTTTCGTCCATACCTGTGTAAAACTACTGAGTAAAAAAATATACATTTACGACGCTTCTTACGTAAAAAAGGTCTCCTGGTAAAAATCGCTACGTGTAATAAGAAGGTTCTCAAGCTATTTGGAATCGAAATTATCAATACCTGTCATTATTGACATAAATTAAACGTGTTGACTAAATAGTTCAAAGACTAAAATAATAAATATAAATTGTTTTTGTACCAAAAATTCAATAGAAACTGTTTTATCAGCATTATTTCCGCAGAAAAATTTATGATTAATTTAAAAAATTAAAAGGTTCCCAAATTAATAATTTCAGTCAAATAACTATCTACTCAACGGATTTATTTTTTTTTGTCAGTAATGACATGTATTGACTATTTCTATTCTCCAAAACTATTTCTAATCTCCAAAACTAAGCATTTTAGGACATACATTTATACAAATTTTTTACTTATTTTTATCTGCAGAATATGCTGTCAAAGTTTCCGGAATACAGTTCGGACCACAATGTATATTTTTATCATAATGACTTGTATTTATAATTGCCATTCCAAATATCTTGAGAATGGTTGCCCGTAGCGATCTTTACTTAATAAACATATTATATACGGGGATGATGTATATTTCTTTACTTTGTAATTTAATACAGGTAGGGACGAAAAGTTATTACTCTTCAAAATAGTTACATAACATGTAGATGATACACCCTATAAGTACGTATAATCAAAGAATACCCAGACACTAATTTTTATCTAAATATCGACGTTTGGTCAAAAATTATTTGAAAAAAAATCGAAATAAAAATGATATTTCTCCACCCTGTATTTCCGAAGAATTTTAGACATAAATTTATACGAACTTTTTTATTGATTTTTTTTCTGCAGAATATGCAGGCGAAATTTCCAAAATACAGTTCATACCACACGAGTAAAACAGTGTTTAAGTTTTTAAAAAATTTCTGAACATGATAAAGCTTCGTTCCTTTATGATAAAAATTTTCATTTATTTTTGACAATAAATAACAGCACAAAATGAAATTCCGTAAAATAAAAGTTTCCTAACAAACACATGTACAGGAAAATAACACACGTGTACACTGTTGTTTGCATTCGTGACTAATTTTTTGAATTATTATGTGTACTTTCATAGGGAGTTCCGGAACAACTATTTTAATGGAACATGTATAGAACTTATATCTACGCTAGGAAATGTTATAAAGCTTTCGTAATAATAATGTTAAATTAGAATTCCACTGAAAGCAGAAGGTATAGTTCGTACTTACTGTAACAAACAATTTAGATATTAAAACAACAACTTGAAGTACACGTTTAATAATTGTATAATTTGGTTTGGAACTACCATATGATCGAAAAAAAATAGCTTCAGCGATGGCTATGAAATGAAGACCGCTGTCATTTTATATTTGAAATTATTGGGGTGTGTGTGTCATCGATGTTCATTTCTAAGCCAACTGGACGCCGTCTTTTTCATACGGTATTTTTAATACGATAATAATAAATTAATTGTCTGTTTCTAAACAACATATACGTTCTATAATTTTTAAAAGAACGCAGAAAATAATCCTTTAAGTGCGTAAATTTTTAATTTGACATCGTCAATTTCATATTTTATTCGTTTTTTATTAGTATAAATATTGCTTAATAGTTGCATTTTCTATATAAAAAGTATTATTCTGTTTCAAGTTATACAGCCATTATTTAAGTTTAATTATTATTGCTTTAATATAAATTTATATAGGCTTAGTGCATTTCATTGATTTTAAAAATTTCCGACCGTAGCGCTGTATACGACAGAAATCAGAAATTTTCACTATGTATTTCAAGCCGTCCCGGTTAGGTAATGAAATAATATGGAAATCGTGGCTTTGTCAGAATATTTAAGTATTTTAGTATTTTTGTTTGTGCAGTTATTGAAACTATGAAACGTTGTTTGTTTGGTATGACGCTGTTTCGGGTAGTAAAAAATAAATTAAAAAGGATCCGAACTAGGCGTCGTGTTGTGTTGTGACAATTTTAAATGTTAATAAAATTAACATTAAGGAGAACGTAATTAAGGCGTTGTTGGGTGCAATAACATTAAATAACTCAACTTTCTCGGATATTCAACTCTCCCGAAACAACATTTTTGTAGCTTCATAGTTTCTCACACCGATTTTTTCAAAAGCAAAAATGGATTCAAGCAGTTCGATGAAACAAGTGAGTAAACAAACTGCTCGTTTCATAATCACAAAATTAAATAGACATATACTATGAGAGGATAAAATATAATTTGCAATATTAATGGTATACTTTTTTAATCAACTAGATTAAATGTTTTATGAACTAAAATTATAACAATGTACCTTTAAAATATTTCGTTATAACCGAAATAACCGAAAGTTATATTCCCACTAGCAAAACCGGTGCGTAAAACTATACTTGCTTCCAGAGTTGAACTGATCTAAACAGTTTTAATAAATTATAATACAAGTTAGACCTTCTGAAGATTCTGTTCTGGTTACATGTTGTCAAAAAATTCTTGCAAAAAATAGAAACCTTCAAATATAATGTATGATCGAAAAAAAAGACAGTAGAAAAAAGAAATACTAAAAGAAAAAAAAAAGAAAAGAAAGTTGTAATTTCAGTGTTTACACTACAGAACAAAATAACTAAAGATAAAATATAAAAAACATTTGTTTTCTCGTCCAAAACCCAGGAAGACCAAAAAGAAATTTGTCTTCCCAGATTAAGCCAATAGGTATCACATTAATTCCTCGAATTAGCTAATAAACGTCTCGAAGTGACATTTAATCCCTCCCTATTGAGATGTTCCTTAATTCAGCAAATGAAACAAACAGACAGACCCTTGCTTAATTAAGAATTTTTGTTAAATACAAATTGATTATTGGTTCTTTTCCTTTAAAGTTTAGTTAAGGATGCAATAACAAATCTTTTTAGTTTTTCTCTTATTAATAAGTGCTATTGACCACTTCTTTATATCTTATTTTTAATTCACTATTTATTTCTTCATTTATTTCATTATTTCCATTATTTCTTTCACTAGATTTGGGTATTTCCCCACCGAAATATCAAACAAATATCAACGATCAGTTATATTTAGACATTTTAGATAGTTTTTTCTTTTTGTTTTTCTGCTTCTTAAGACAAAAGGAGTTATACCTAACTTTAAGCATTTTTTGTCGGTTAGGCAAATTTGTTATACGAATAAAGAGCGATGGACAACCTAGTTTCTATTTAGATTCTACCCGCTACTGTGGTGTTTACAAAAATAAACTTATTTTATTTTTTAGATTTCTCTTTCAGTGGCGAAATGCCCAGACTTTTTTCAAGTAATTTAATTTTTATATTTCTTCTGAACATTTTATTTTATTAATGCTTTGATATAAGAATCTTCAGACCGTTAATCAGACAAATTTTAGCTATGTATCATTTTCTGACTCTATATTTTGGACCGTTAGATACAATTTTTTGTGGTAACAATTTACAGAATTAGCGTTAATGAAAGACACTTAACTTAATTAATAATAACGTAATCTAGACTATCAACGCATTATATTTATTAAAGAAA